ACCCCACATTTCTTCTATTTTCTATCCTCGACTTTTTTTATAATCCTATAATCATATTTTTCGAACTGTTCTGCTCTTTTTTTTAACATTGCACTATACATTTTTAAAATATTTGTATTATAATTATTAAAATTTGTTATTTTCGAATTCAAAAAAATAAAAATAGATAAAAAGAAAATAAAATAATCATGTTTAATATATAATTCTAAATAGTTGTAAATTTGTAAATTCGTAAATTTGTAAATTTGTGAATTTGTTAATTTTGGAACAACTTTGATATTTTTTAAAAAAAAAATCCCCAATAAAAAATTTCATATAAAATTAGATTTTAGATATTTATTTTTTTTTTTTTTTATAAAAAAACTTGTGTAATTCACATAATTAATATCATAATTCAAGTAATTTTAAATTAGACCTATTTTAAAGTGAAGATTCAATTTCCGATTTACAAAAAAAAAAAAAAAAAAAAAAATATAAAAGATAAAAAAAAAAAATTATTTAAATATTATATTATTATAAAATGGAACAAAATATTGATGTAAATCGGAAATTTGAATCTTCTCAAAGGAACAAAGGGAAACATTAATAAAAAATGGTTAAATATTTTTAAATAAATTAATAAATTTATTCAACAAATAAATTAGAAAAATAAAATTAAAAAATTAAAAAAAAAAAAAAAAAGAAAAATTACTTTTTTAATTTCCTTAAATGTTTATTTAATAAATTTATATGTATAAAAAAACTATTTTTTATTTAAAAATTTTTTTTTAAAATAATTTTAAATTTTTGAGTAAATTAAATTAAATTTTTATTATCTATTTTATACCCTAAAACCTAAATGGAAAGGGAGTTATTAATATTTCTTTATTACTTTTATTATAACATTATTTGTTGCTACTCTTCCATTATTACCATTATTTCTATTACTATTATGTATAAATAAATAACCTATTCCAATACCTTTTACTTTTACTGATAAAAAAATCCGATTCACCTAATCTAACATAATCTAATGAAATATAATCGATCCCAACTAAATTCATTCCAATTCAACCTAATCGAATACTAACCTAAACAAGTCATCATTTTTACTTTTATCTTTTTTATTTTTATTAACAATCTGTTTTTTATTTATTTAATTATATTACTGAAACTTTTAAAAATTGCCAAATATCTGTAATTTTTATTTTAGATAAATATTTCATCTAAATAATCCAACTAAAAGTATTATACCAATCTTAAACATAATTCTAAATTTCTTTTTCACTACAACTACTTTTTTTATAGATTTTATTTATTATATTATAAATTTGTTTTTATTTATTATTTATCGTTTTTATTTTAATAATTATCAATTTATACTATTATTATTATTTATATTATAACTATGATTGTTTTTATTATAAACATTAGTACTATTCTCTATTATTCCAATACCTTTTACTGTAACAATAAAAAAAATCCAATTCAACCAATCCAATACAAAACACCCAAAAAAAATCTTATTTATACTTTTGTTTTTTTTATTATTACCATTATATTTCTTTATAAACATAAACATTAATAAATCCTTTTTATTTTTTATTTTTTATTTTTTATAAACTATATATTATTTATTATTTATTATTATTTATTTATTGTTTTTATAATATTTTTATATTATTTATTATTGTTTTGTTTATTATTCATATTATTTTATTTTAAAATTATAATTAATTTTTATAATTAGCATTTAATATAAAATCAATTTTTTTTATATACTTGTTTTAAATTAATTGTTTTATTAATTTTTATAATGTATAACAATTCATAATTGTAATTTATTTTATATTTAGTTTTTTTAATATATTTCCCTTTCTTTAATATATTATGTTAAGTTTGTTTCATTATTTAAATTTTGTGTTTATATAAAAATTAAAGCTCGAAATGGGTATTAACTGCGATCTGACAGGTAATTAACTGTAGGTATTAATGCCCTAACCCATGGGGTTTGATCCATGGGTAATTAATTTGTTTTTAACTATAACTACCCATATCCAATATTATTGGATAAAAAATAAAATAATTTATATAACAAATATATAAAAAAATAATTTTTTTGTAATAATAATTATAATATTTTATTTTTATAATAACTATAATAAATAATTTAGATCATTTCATATTTTTTAAACTATAAATCTTAAATAAAAAATTTTTTATTATAAAAATATTATTTTTTATTTTTTATTTTTTTTTTTTATTATTATATTTTTATAATAACTATAATAAATAATTTAGATTTCATATTTTTTAAACTTTAAATCAAAAATAAAAAATATAAAAAAAATCAAAAATCAAAAATAATATTTTTAAAATCTAAAATCTAAAAATTAAATTAACTTATAGGTAAAAACCCATAACCATTTCGAGCTTTATTAAAAATATTAAAAAAAATGATTTTTTTATTTTTTTTTTTTTTAAAAAATGATGATTTTTTGGCTATTAACACCATTTTTATAAAAAAAAAAAAAAATAAAAAAAAAATTAATTTAAATAAAAAAATTTAAATATTGTCGAATAAAAATACAATTAAAGTAATGTATTAATGGTTTTTATTTATTATAATCAAAAATACACGATTTATATGAAGGATTTTTTTCGATCCAAATTTTAGGAAAAAGGATCCGGATTTTCATTAGAAAATCTAGGATCAATCCTAGTTTTAAACCTCGATCCGATACTATAATTTTATTTATTTGAATTTTTTTTATTTATTTGTTTTTTTATTTATTTATTCATCGAATCATTCGAATGATTAATGAATCACGGGTCGGTTTCTTGATTTTCCGACTCGCCCGCTGCGGGTCGGAGCCTTACTTCCTCTGCATTTTGCAGACGCTCAATGAGTTCCCATAGGCTTTTAGGCAAATAGGCTACCGGAATTTCTTCAAATGCTTTCAATAAGCGTTCTGTCATTTTCTTTTCCATCTCTTTCTCGCTCTTTTCTTCAGACAGAAAGGTTTGGTTAATCATTTTAAAGAATTCCGCTATTTCTTGTTTTTCAATACTTGTATCTGCGGTAGGCGATAAATATTGCATGAATTGCTTAAACAGTGTGTCGTCTGGCTGCTTATTTCTATGATCAGGCATAAGTTTGTACATTATTTTAATTAATTCATGCCCCTGTTTAGTAAAAAACGGCTTCCTATAATTAATGGTCTGCTCGCCAATGAGTGTTATCTGGTCGGTTTGTTTGTTACTAAAAATTTGGCACATATTGTAGGTCTTATTTAGATGCGCTTTGGTCCAACCTTTAATTTTGGATTTAAGAGATTTGTCATGGGAACTTAATTTTCCCTTAACCCACGTAGTTAGCTCTTTCTTCCGAGTATCTAATTGTTGCTCTAAGTATTTATCAACCCACTCAGAAATTTGCTGTAGTTCCTCCTTAGCACTACGTCCTTGCTCAAAATTTTCATCCTCACCCTTAAAAATACGCTGTAGCTGGTCTTGATCTATCCCTTGATAGTCTGAAAAATTAAAATTTGAATAAGCAGTGGGCATATACTTTTTGATGTAATAAAACAAATTGAGTGGCATACATAAATAGTTCTCAAAGCTATAAGCATTGAGGGCATGTACCATCCCTTCAGCACCCCTTTTGTTTGTCCGAATCGATTTGTCACTATCAATAACCCCTAAAAAGACATTTTGCCTGTGATTTTGATTTATTAATTCTTTTAGGTAGCCCTCAGCCTTTACCTTTCCATACGTGTCATATTCCCCTTGGTAAACAGGAATATTATTTACTTTCTTTATCACAGCATCTCTCCCCCCCCCTCCATCTTCATATACTGCCAGATCATTAATCCCTTTTGCCAGATCATTAATCCCTTCCTTGAGGGATTTGATCCGTTTGTTGAGGTTTTCTTTCCCTGACAAGTCTTGAGCTAGCTCATTGGCCATTTTTCCAAGCTCATCGACTTTATCCTGAAGGGTTTCTTTGTCTTTCTTCATTGCGTCTAACTTGATCCCTACTGGCATAAAGATCAACTGCGTCTTATTAGCAACAACGCCAGAATAACCGCTTTTTAATTTTTGATAGATGATATTATAAAACTTAACATCGTCTTCGTTTTCAGCTAATACATAACTAACGTCTTCAAATACAGCCAGTTTCCCTCCTGACAACATAGAGGCTGCGCTTCTCTGGTTTGGCGCAGGCGTTATCATATTAGAGGTCATCCGATTAATTGCTGCAGCTGGATCAATGATCAGTCGACTTCCTTCCCCTAGGGTATAAATGCTATTATCTGGGGCAAAAAAAACAGCATCAGGGCGATGAGTCGTCATAAAGACCTGTACATGGTGTTTTTTAACAAATTCCTGATAAATAATCTCATACATCTTCTTACACAACTCAGGATCTAGGTGGCGATCTGGCTCATCCAACAGCATCACATCCAGATGCGGTGTTTCTGCAGGGTTTTTCCCCTCAGCAGAAATGCCTCTAAAATAAAATAACTGAGAGAGTAACCCTAATGCCACCTTTTCTCCAGAAGAAAGCGCACCAGGTTCTATGTTAATACTCAACCCACCCACTTGCTTGGTTAAAACAAAGTTTTTGGTATTTGAGTTGCTCCCTTCGTTCGCTTTGTACCAGTACTGAAAACCGTGTCGTTCTAAAATTTCATTGATCTCCTCCCAAGGGGCTTTAAGGTCTAACTTTTCTTGGATGTACGATTCCAGCAACTCATCTGAAGACTTAGAATTCATGAAATCAAAAAATTTCTTAGTGTTATCTAAGCTATTACCCTCTAACTGTTGCTTTTCAAGATAAAATTCAAATAGCCCTATTTCATAAGTACTTTTAAATTTATTCTTTAATACTGCTACTTGGTCCAAGTGGTTTTTAAATACATTTTCTAATATGGAAATTGGACTATTGATATCGTCTTTTTCAAGCATATAATACCTTTTCTTATACACAATTTTTTCAATTACTTTTCTCCATGCTGGCTCTTTATCTTCTTCGGAGGGAGGACCTTCTATTTCTTTTTGGTCTATCTTGTTGATAATTGCCCAATGTAATGGCTCAAAAAGTTTACAAAAATTATTACCTCTCTTTTCCCCATTTTTGTAATATAATTTAATCTGCTCAATGAGCTCTCCCGAGTTTTTAATATAATAGTGAGGATCTCTATGGTGACGGCTACTAGAAGCGTGATCGTTCACATAATCCGCATCTTGAAACAACACATTGACCGTATTATAGTGGCTGTTTAATTGCTCATACATATATTTCAACAACTGTGTTTTTCCAGATCCATTCCTTCCAGTAATGATGGCAAAGTTGGGAATATTTTCCCAAGGCTCCAACCCCGCTAAATGGGGGGCATTACTTTGTATAAGTTTCTCATTTGCTTTAAAATCTATTTTTAGCAAATGGTTTCTTCCTTGTTGTAGCGTAATCCCTCTTGAGCTAGGCGTTTGCATCTCCTTATTGGGCTCTTGATCGTTTTAAATTAAAAAGGTTTAAATTTTAAAATAAAAATAAAAATAAAAATAAAAATAAAAATAAAAATAAAAATAAAAATAAAAATAAATATAAATATAAAAAAAAAATTTTTAAAAAAAATTTAAAAAAAAAATTTTAAAAAATTTTAAAATTTCCCTTGAATTTTTAATTTTTATTTTTTTAATTTTTTTTTCAATTTTTTTTTCAATTTTTAATAAAATTTGTAAATAGATGTAAAATAACAGCACAAACACAAAAAAAAAACTATAAAAATAAATCATGAAAAACATTATAACACCAATCATTGTTGTTTTTATTTTTTCGTTTTTAATATTATTTTCTTTTTTATTAATAAAAACCTCAACCAATACAAAACCAAAACAAAAGGTCGAATTATTGTTTTTTTTTTTATTTTTTTCCAAAAAAACAATAATCAATATTAAATTATAATATACGTATTTATTTTTAAAATGGTATTTATTTTAGTTAAACTAAAACCTCAGCAAATCCAAATCAAAAAAAAAATAAAACATAAAATATAAAAAAAATAAAATTCACAAAATAAATAATATGGTAAATAAGTAAAATAGTAAAAAAATTTAATTACGATTATTATTAATTTTAATTAACAAAAACATATTATTTTTTAATTTTACCGAGTGAAATACATTATTATATTTGCAGTTTTTATAAATTTGTGAAATTAAAAAGATATTAATGAAGTTTAATATTTTCTGTATTTTCATGGTTAATTTGCATAGATTCAATAGTAATTTAAATATTTTTATTTTTAGGTTATTCAAGGTGGAATTAATTCATACAGTGCCCGGATTATATTTGTAGACCCAACTTTATTAAGATGGAAATGATAATTATTGAATTAATAGGTCATTTTTAATAGTTCATATATAGTATTTATATAAGGACCCCTAAAATAAGTCATATTACAAGATAAAAATCAAATATTGGTCTCATTTTTGGTTCCTTTGGTTCGGGTATTATTTATTACAGTTTGCCAAATAATTATGCTTATTATGTGTATATTTTTATAAATTACATTAAAATTTAAAAAAAAAATTTAAAAAACAAATAAATAATAAAATAAATAAAAAAAAAAGAAATTATACATATGAATTTTTTATTTCTGTGTTATTCATATTTGGATTGGTTGTAAATAAAGTGTAATATGGTTATACAATTTTATTATTTAAATATTATTTTTTTCTTCTTAAATAATTATTTACTTAATATTTGTATATTTTTATAAAATACTAGTATACATTACTAAATTTATAAATAATAAAATAAAAATATTTTTATGATTAAATTATAAAATTTTAAACTTTAAAAAAAAAAAAAAATTTGTTGATAAAAAAATATAAAATAATTTTATATTTATTTAAAAATCTAGATAAAAATATTAATCTATTTATTTTATTTGTTTATTTATTGGTTGATTGAAAATTGTTCTTTTTGTTGTTTGAATTAGTATAAAATGAAAACCCTCTTTTACGAGTTTTCCAGTTAGTCTATTCAATTCTTTTAATCTTTTACACATATCAACTGTGGCTGGAGTGTCAGGAGTGGCTGGAGAATCTCTTGTGGGCTACTTTCTAAAGCTTCTCTATTTTTAATACCAATCACTGTGTCCAATAATCTCTTTTAATTTCTAACCCGATTGGAGGTGAGCTTGTGTTGCTTTTAATGGCTCATCCATATAATCTCCACTTTTAATAAGTTTTTTTTTTTTTAATATTTTTTTTTTTTAAGTTTTATTATTTGTTTCTGTTATTTTGAAATTATAAAGAATGATTGGAAAAAAAAAAAAAAAAAAAAAAAAATTTTGAAAAAAAATTTTAAAAAAAATTAAATTAAAACCCCACCACACAATTTTTCTTTTTTATAAAAAAATTAATTAAAAAATAGAAAATGTTTAAGGAGCTAATGGCCAAAGGTTTGGAACAAGAGTTTTTGTCTCTTTTGGAGATCTTACCCATTTATATAAAGAAAAAAAAATTTTAATATTCTCACAAAAAAAACAATTTAAAAAAATAATTAATCCTTTGAAATATATTAATTTTTTATTTAAATTATTGTTGTTGATTGTTGTTATTATCATCATTTAAAACATTAGGGTAATCTGGAAACTTACTGGTACCCTCTTCGATTTGTGGTGTGTAGTTGAAATATCTTGAACTTTCTTCTTTAAAACCACTTACTATTGATGATTTGTAATCTGTAAAACTTGAATAACCAAAATCTAGATCTTCATTATAGTCTTCCAATATTTTAACATCGTGGTAGTACCAACACACAGAGTTCATATAGTTTTTGAAAACGTACTGGGTATATTTTATCATTTTTTTTTTACAAGCCTCGGTGCATCCATTTTCGATGGCAGGAAAATTATCTTGGTTAGTCATGAATTTTTTAATAACAGCAAAATAAGTGCCTCTGCCCATTTCTTCAAATAATTCGTTGAAATTGTATGTATCATGCACACACATCTTTAATATATGTAAAATAAAAAAATAATAATTTTAAGTAAATTAAATATAAAAAAAATTTTAAAAAAAAATGATAGTTTAAAAAAAATAAAAAAGAATTTATGAAAAAATTTAAAAAAAAAAATAAAAAAAATAAATTGTAAAAACTATTTTTTAACAAATTAATAATCTTCATAATAATAAAAACCCCAAAAAAAAAATCAATTATTTCAAGTAAAGGTATGGATGGCAAAATAGTATGTTTCAATGAAAGTTATTATTGAAAAATCAAAACCAGCATCAAACATCGAACAGGCCAAAACTATCAGACCCAAATAATTCAATAAATCAGTCAATTGGATCAGTAATACAATAGTACTTCAAAAGACAGTTTATCTATGGCCCAGTCAGTTAATGGCGCCTCAAATAGAAAAATTAAAATCAATTTTAAAAAAGATATGATTTTTTTAAGTAATAATTAGTTTAAATAAACATTTTACTTTTTTATTTAAATTTTGTTTTGTATTACAATAAAATGCAGCATTGCTTTAAAATTTGGAATTTGATTTTTAATTAAAAATTTTTATGTAATGTAGGTACAAATCTATTAGTTATTTAAAGTAAATAATATTTATTAAAGTTATAAAACGATAATTATTTAAGTTATGAATGATGTGTATTTTCGAACTAAAACGAAAAATTATTTTATTTTTATTTTTTCAAAATTTTTGAATTTTGAAAAATTATTTTAAATATTTTTATAATTTTAATTATCGATTTAAATTATAAAAAGTATTTAAACTAGTTGATTAATGTTAAATGATTTATAAATTGTTTCTTATCTTGAATTATTAACTAAAATGATATATAAAAAGCAGTGATTACATTACATTTAATATCACAGAGAAGATTAAAACAAATAAAAAATCAAGGTTTCTAATTCCTACCCCAGATTATTGGTGTTTTTGAGGGTATATTTCAATACCATCGTTTTTTTATTTTTTTGTTTTTTTTTTTTTTATCTTTTTTCTATATTTCTATAGTGTTAATATTGTATTTCTATAATATTATGTATTAGTTATTGTTAAGTAATGTATTGCGGAGTATCAATAGGTTTGGGGTTGGATGGCCTTGATTCAATATATTGATGATTGTTTAATTTTTAAAAGGATAGAGTGAATAATTATAAATGTTTTTATGGGAATGTTAATTTTAAATTAAATTAATTTGAATTAAAAAAAATTTCTCTAAATAATAAATTTTAAAATGATTTTTCAAAAATTTCGCATAAAATAAAAATATTTTTTAAAAATAAATATGTGAAACTTCTTTATTTTTTTTATTTAAAAATTATTTTATATTACTAATTAAATATAATTTAAAAATTTAAATTATAAAAGAAGTATTTTATAATTAAAATATTTTTTTTTTCAAAAAGTAGAAAACCGAAGCTAAAAATCCACTGCATATTATAATAAATTTCACTCATTTATTGAAATAAAACTTAATCATTTAATTAAATAAAAAAATTTGAAAGCAATTAATTACTATTTAATAAAAAATTTATTATAATGATTTTTTATTTTAAATAATTTATTAAATCATTTTGAATTTTTAAAGTTTGTTTTGTTGGTATTGAGAGTATTTTTAAAATTTCACTTTTAGTTGTTTCGTATTGAGATTTTGAAATTGCTAAATAACATTTTATACTATGAATTGAATGAGATGTTTCAGTTAGTTTAGCCCATTCTAAAAATAATTGGTCTATTATAGGATCATCAATTGGGAAACGAGATTTGGCCAATAGGATTGCTTCTTGATATAGCATTGCATTTCTATAGACATCGATAGCATCTTTAACATGGCCGGTTAGCAAAAGATAAGAGACTGCCATATGGAAATCACCAGTGCATATAAGTTGTTGAGAGTATAACGAACAAATTGATTCATAAATTTCCCTGCCGGCTTGAATACTTAGTGCAACAATATTACCTGTTAACTTTCCATTCTTTATAATTTGATACAGTGCATTCTTTATATTACCATTCCAACAATTAATTGATAAATAATTTTCAATATCGTCAATCTTTAATAATTCATTTGATTCTTTTTCGATTAGTTTATCAATAACCAATTTCTTTTCTGAAAAGATTGCTTCTATTTTATCATTTCCACAATTACCACCATAATCAATATTTACTTTATCCTCATTTTCTAAAATATATTTGGCTAAAGGTATTACTGATTGAGTATTATCTACTTTTTGAACAATATCTTTATTTAATAATAATATTGGTCTTTTTTTTGGTAAATTTTCTGGTAATAATACTGGTGATGTTGAGCTTTGGTTTTTTGATGGAGAAACTGGGTTATTTATTGCTATGGCTGTACTTGTTGTTGATGATGATGTGTTTGTGTTGACTAAAGTTTCTTGTAAGTTTTGTTGTTTATTTTCCTCAATTTTTTTATTTAATGATATTGCTATTTGTGGTGGTGATGGTTTAGTTGGTAATGATTCATTTGGAGTTTTATACGGTTGCTTGGTATAGTCCCAAATTCTAACAGTTTGATCTTCACCACCTGTTGATAATAAGTTTGGTTCGACAAAGCTCCAACATACTGTAAATACTCTTCCGTCATGACCTCTCATATTTGAAACCAACTCTTTACTTTCAATATTCCATACCTGTATTGTACCATCTGCCGAAGCTGAGGCCAGTAATCTCCAATCATGTTTCGACCAATCAATGGAGCAAACATTATTCCTATGTCCAGAAAATTGATAAATCAATTCAATTTTAAATTCTTCTATTCCCTCTTTTTTTTGATTTTCTTCTTGATTTTCATCTTTTTCAATATTTTGTTTGATTTGATTTATTTTATAAATATTAATTTTTTTATCATTGGATGCTGAAGCTAAAGTATTTTTATGCTCAGGGAATTGGCTCCATTTTACTCTATTTATTAATTTTTTATGTTCTTTGATTCTTGTTAATAGTTTAAAATCTGAATTAAATATATCTATAGTTCCATCTGAATGACCAATTGCTACCATATCACCATCTAAATTCCAATTGATATCAGTTCTATGTTTGCTAAATGTTTCGTTTGGATTTCTAGATTGAATAGATGGACCCATATTTGTAAAGCCTTTGTCAAAATGATTATAGTCCCATTCAAATATTTCATTATTTCCAATTGTATAGATTTTACTTGGTTTTTCTTGTTGTTTATTTTCTACAGTATTATTTTTATTTGGTGGTTTCCATACAATTTCATAAATTTCATTTTTGTGACCCCCTGGAAATATTGTTGATTGATTATTATTAATATTGTAAACACCAGCTCTTCCATCGTCCATGCCAAATGCTATTAATGTTGAATGATTGATACCATAATCTTTACAAAATGAAATTGCTGTAACTTTTGATTGTATCCCTTTCCAGAGCATCTTTGATTCGTATCTATCCTTTTGGTTTTCAGTTGGAGACCATAATCTAATGGTGTTATCCCCACAACCAATTGCAAAGGTATTTGGTGTATAGCTACATGTATCAATACTATAAACAAAACCTCCCAATGCTTGAATTCTAGTTTTCCATTTCATATTCTCCCAAATAATTATTTGCCTATCTAGTGATAATGTTATTATTTTATTTTTATATTTAGCTGTATTTGGTTTATTTGTTGATGAAGATGAAGTATCATTAGGATCTACACTGACACTAGTTGATGGAGATGGTACCTGTATAATGTTGAATATTAATCTCTGGTGACCAGTTTGGAACTTTTCGGGTGCTTGCTTTAAATTGCTCAAGTCCCAGACTAAGATATCAGCAGTTAATGAATTTGATATTAAATATTGGGGTGAGGCAGGTGACCATGATAAAGTTAACCATACTCTTTGTTGCTTTTCGTTCATTGAAGAACCGCCACTGCTATGTTGAATTGAGTATTTTGCTGGATTAAATTGATATAGCGATGTAAAACCAATATCAATACTATTACCGACTTGTTTCCAAATTTTAATGGATTTATCTTTTGAACAAGTTGACAAATAAACACCACAAGGTAAAATATTTTTATCGGTACTATTTAAATTTAGCTCTTTTAGTTCTTCTCCCTCTCCTTCCTGTTGATTATTCTTTTCAGTTTCAGATATTTTACTATTTGTATTAAAAATATTATTTGAATATATTATATTTGAATCAAACCAAACTATTGATAAAACATCAGATGAATGTGCTGAAATTTTGCATATGATTGTACGTAATATAAAATTATAAATTATAACTATACCATTTGAGTAACCTATTGTTATTAAATCTTGATTATTTGGTGAGAATGCAAGTGAAGTGATTGAAATATTACCAGTGATTGGTATTACTGGCAAAACATGATTGAATTTGGTTTTCCATATAACCAATGTACCATCTTTATCACCGGATATAACTAAATCTGAAACCAATGGAGATGATAAAACACATGTTACGCTTGCTTTATGCTCTTGGTGAAAATATAAACACTTTAAATCCTCATAATTCCAAATTCTAACAGTTTTATCGTCAGATCCCGTTATACATAATTTATTTCTATCTTCGCCATTAATAATAGTATCACTATTGTCATCTATTCTTTTAAAAAATGAAACTGATGTAATTCTATCATTGTGTCCAATTAATTCGCCTATAAACTTTCTATTTATAAAATTTTAAAATAAAACAAATTATAAAATATTATTAATAATTTGAAATTTGAAAGTTTATAAATATACCGTATAATACTTACTTTTTATTTACATCAAAAATTGATACAAATGATTTACAAGCATAGATAAATATTTGGTTTTCATTACAATCGGCAATTAATGTACAGTACCAATTAGATGATGACGGTAACATTTCCCAATGTGTCATTTTTTTATTATTTATTTTCTTTTCATTATTGTTGTTATTATCAATACTATTATCATTATTGTGGTTGTTATTATTGTTATTTAATTCATTGATCATTAAATTTTCCATTTTTAAATTAAATGTAAAAAATGAAAAATAAAAAATTTAAAAAACTAAAAAAAATTTTAATTTTTTTTAATTTTTTTTATACCCCTTAAATTATTATTTCACAAAAAAAAAAACAGAATGAAATAAACAATCAGAGAAAATTTTTATTTTGATCGTAATATTTTCATTAATGAATGATTTTTATTTATTTATTTTGTTTATTGTAATTCTAAAATTTTAATATTTCCTTGACTATTCGCAGCTAATAGTATATTTGAATCTTTTTTCCAGCATACAGAACTTACAAATTGAGAGCCATCTTCATCGGTTTCGTCTCCAGTTCCAGAATTTGCACCAAATTTATGAGTTACAATTGGTTTTGATAAAGTTTTATAATATGTATATACACCATTATTTTCACTACCACAACAAATATAATCACCATTAACGGTTAATCCAACAAAGTTCTTTTCATTTGAATGTCCTGTAAATGTTCTAATACATTCATTTGAATTTACATTCCACAATTTAAGGGTACTATCGGTTGATCTAATAAAAATTAAAAATAAAAATAAAAATGTGTGTGTGTGGTGGGGTGTGTATAATTAGTAAAATGAAATAATTATTTTATAATGATATTATTTTATACTTACGCTGAAATTAATTCATCCTTGTTCATAAATTTAACATAGCTAACAGCTTTTCTATGACCTTTGAATACTACTAATGGATCTTTGTATTGTCTTAAATCGTAATAATGGATATGATGGTCTGCAGAACCAAAAGCAATAAGATTTGAAGAGGATGGATTAAATTTAACGCAACAAATATTAGCTTTACTTTCGATGGTTGTAATAGCATGATCGGTATTTGTTGACCAGAGTTTAACTTTGGTATCATCAGATCCTGATGCCAATTGAGTTGGATCGGTACGAGAAAAGTCCACACTCCACACCCTTTTTTCGTGCTCTTCAAATGTCATTATACTTTGTCCAGTATTTGAATCCCACAATGAGATGATACCTTCATAGTCACTTGAGGCAATTTGAGATTTAATATAGGTATTCCAACTAAGACAGCTAATCTTTGACCTGCATATCATTTCTCTGACTGGTGTATGAACATCTACATTGTCACGAATTTGGCTAAACTCAAACACTTTAATCTTTTTAGTTACACCTGCTGTTGCAAAAAATTCTTGATCCCTATCAAACTCGATTGAGCTAACTATAGATGATGTATTAAATAAATCCCCATATTTTAATGTAGCTATAACTTTAAATTCATTAAATCTAGTAAACTTTAAAAGATTCTTTGAAAAATTTAATAATCCCCTTCCAACCTTTAATTGTTCGATATCACTATTAATATTTGTGTATGGTATAATTGAATTGGCACCACTACTACCATTAATAACTGATCCATTCATTATGGTGGTTATAGTTGATGATGTTGACGATGATGATGATGATGATGATGATGACGATGATGATGATGTTATAGTCAATGGAGCTGAACTAGGTGTTGTTTTATTTACTGATGGTGATCTAATCTCGTGTGAATCATTATCCGAATCATTATAAGCTGAAAAATAACATGCCTGTAAATCCTCCAAATGAATTTCTACTCTTCTTTTTTTATTTGCTAATAAATTCTATATATAAATATAGTGAAATCGATTAGTTATTTATGAATTAAATTATTATTTAATAAATTAAAACATTACATTATTTTGGGTACTATTATTTATCGATATTGATTCTTCTGTATTATTATTCTTATTAATATTATTCGTGGTTATGGTTGTTATGGTGGTTGTTGTTGATGAATCGTTTGTATCTGAGATATCTTTTTGATGTTCGATTGCTTTAATATCATTTTCTAAATAATCAATTTGCCTTTTTAATTGTTTAAAATCTTCCATCTTTTGAGATTTGGTTTTTTGTAAAAAATCTAATAATATATCAAATTCAACTTGTTGATCTTGTAACTCTAAACTTTTTTTCTTTTCCAATAAAGTATTTACCATTAAATTAATATCTTGTAATGAAAATTTTTCATTTGTTAATGTATTTCTTAATTGCTTAAAACTTGGTGATGGTAATAAATTGGTTTTAATTCCAACTTTTTGTACAAAACTATTCACTATATTTTAAAAAAATTAATAACCTATTATATTTATTATTAATATATTTTTTTTACTTACATGCGAAATTTGGGAATATTTGTTCTCTAGTTAAAAACATCATACAAAATGGGCATGTTTTTGAATTTGTTAAATGCTGTGTAATACATTGATAGCTAAATTTTTAAAAGTTTATCAATATTAGTTATAGTTATAGTTATTATTATTATTATTATTATTATTATTATTATTATTATTATTATTATTATTATTATTATTACTTACCAAAAAGAGTGTCCACATTTTGTAATGAATGGTTCTTTAATCATATTATCACAAATTGCACATAATAAAAATTCATCAACAGCTTCCTCCTCATCACTATCCTCATTATCTTTTTTACCAGAATCCCTATTACTATTGGCACCACTATTCTTTTTATTTCCATTTGCATTGTTATTATTATTATTATTATTATTATTATTATTTACATTATTATTGTTTTCATTATCACTACTACTTTCATTATTATTCGAACCATATGGAGCTTCGTCTATACCTTTTCCATTACTACTACTGTTGCTATTATTACTATTACTTTTGACTTTATTGGTGGTAGTGGTTATTGCAGCAGTGGTTCCTTTTTTCTCTATTATTTTACTGTTGTTGTTACTATTACTAATACTATCTGACTCTATATTTTTATTTTTGGAAATCATTATTCAATCTATATTTATTTATATATTCTATATTTATTTATTACTTGGTGTATATATATATAAACTAAAATAAAATAAAAAGTTTTTTTTTTTTTTTTTTTTTTTTAATTTAATTAAATAATTTTTAAATTATTTTTTTAAATTATTTTTATTTTTATAGGGGGAGTTTGTTTTACTGCTTTTTTTTTTTTCAAAAAAAATATAAAGATACACACATAAAAATAAAACTATTTATATACAAGGATAATTTTAAAAAAAAAACAGAATAATTATAAATAAAACTCTAATTTTTTATAAAAAAAAAATAAAAAATATTCACAAAAAAAATGATATAAAAAAATTTGAAAAAAAAAAAAAAAATAATTAAAATAATTAGAAAAAAATAAAATATTAAAAAAACTTAGTTTTTTTTTTTTTTGAAGATTTACTTTGACTATCTGTGTTTATATATGATCATAAATAATAATGATAATAAAAAGATTTTTTAGTTAGTTAAATAATATAGAATATAAAATAAATTTTTTTTTTTTTAGTTAATTGATTAATAACCACAATTTTTAATAATTAATATCACACACACTCAAACACACATACAAATATTCTATTATTTTTGTAAAATACTCGCTCACATTATTTTTTTTAAAAATAATATCTCAAATCAAAATATACACAGATATTATAAACACACACCACACATGTTAAAAAAATAAAATAAAAAAAAAATATCAAATAAATTTAAATATTTATATTTATATATACTATTTATAAATAAAGAAATAATAATACTCTTATTATTATCATTTTAATTTAATTTTTTAATAAATAAAAAAAAAAATAAAAAAAATAAAAATTTTATTTTTTTAAAATTTTACTTTTTTTTTTTTCTTTTATTTTTTTTTAATTAATTGTTTTTTTTTTTTTTTAAATCATATATTTTATTAATAGTTTATATATAGTATTATATAATATTAGTATTATATAAAATGAGGTTTAAAAATGTACTCGTTTTATTATTGTTATTAGTATTTTCAGGTGTGTAGCAATAGTATATCATTGTGCATAAAAATAACAATCAAAAATCTATCTTTACTCTTTTCTTTTTATTATATACACCATAATTTTATTAACAAGCTTTTTAATTTTTGATTATTTATATAGTAATTAATTCAGAACCATCAGCACCAGCAACAATTAGTGATAATATATATACAACATTATACTCTTCATATCCATGCACAAAGATTATGACATCGGATGGTCAATTTGGATGCTCATCAAAGCATGGTGGAAATAGTGGCATTTTATATTTAATAGATGATGATGAATCATATAATAATTATTTTTCATATAGCCAACAAAAAGATATTATTGTAGTATTAGATACAAATTATTTTAATAGGTAATATACATAAAAACCAATATTTTATTATTTAAAAAAAAATTTTTAAATATTTATAAAATATTAATTTTTTTTTCAATAATATTAGCACATCAGTTTTAAATTTACATAATAAATCAAAAATTGAAGGTATTATAGTATTAACGGATACTAAAAAAACATATCCATATTCACCAGATTCAAGATATCCAAATAAAATATATGGATTATATCCAAATAGTAATTTGGAATGGAATCCAAATGCTGATGGATTTACATATTTTAGTTTCCCATTCCCAATTTTTGCAATCGATAATCAAACCTCAGTTGCAATTAGAAATGTAAACTATTATTTCTTTTTATTAATTTTTAAACTTATTAATATACTAATATTAGTTATTGTTTTATTAGGTATCAAAACATAATAGAGATGGACAATATCCAGCATGGGGCGCAGAGTTAGATAGTTTTATGCAAGGTGCAATTAATTCAGAAACATGTTTAAGAAGAGGATTTTGTGAACCAGTAGGAGGACAAAGTATTTGGAGTTCATTTTCATCAAAAATTGACAAAGAAAAAGAAATTATTTTAGTTATGTTACCATTTGACACAACAGCATTCTTTCGTGATTTATCAATTGGTGCTGATCAAAGTTCTTTTGCAACTGTAACTTTACTATCGGTTATTAAAAGTTTAGCAGCAGTAGATCGTTCATCATGGAATAAAGAAGTAGTATTTGCATTTTGGAATGCTGAACGTTGGGGATATGTAGGTTCAGAGTATTTTATCAATGATCTTTTAAATTTCCAATGTAAAACATATAACAGTGACAAATCCAAATGTATTGATCCACCAAGAGCAGATTTAGCTTTTCAAACCCAAATTAACTTTACCAAAATTTCAACCATTATCGAACTTAATCAAATTGGTAGAGCACAACTTGATAAAAATCTTGGAAAATATTCGTTATATCTTCATACTGCCGGCACCAAAACATCTTCTGTAACCGATATTTTAGATCAAGTAGCTTCATCTTATGAAAACTCAACCATTACATTTAAACCAACCACCCAAACTGAATTACCACCAAGCTCATCAATGTCTTTCCTTAAGAAAACAAATAAAATCCCAGTTGTAGTCATCACAGATCATGACTATAAATACAGTAATCCATACTATGGCTATGAACAAGATGATAATGAAAATGTGTTAGGCTCAACTTTAAATGACATTGTTTATATTTTATCAACTTTTATAGATAGAATTGCAGGTGGTAATAATAATATTACAATTGACAAAAATTTTATAAATATACTTTATCCTTGCTTTACTTCTTCAATCACTTGTTTTAACATATTGATGAAAACTTATCGTATGTATTTTTTAAAAATTATAAAATTTTTCATAAATTAAATATTAACTTTTTTTTTTTTTTTTGTAAATATAGCACTTAATGAAGTCCCAAATTTCTATTCATCTGTTTTCGGTACATCTTTAACAACTACATTATCACCATATGAAACCAAATTAATCCATAGACTACTTTATTCAATTACACAATATAATAGCACTTTAACAAATTGTACAAGCGATAACGACTGTGTAGGTTTTAATTGATTATTTTTAAATATAATATACCATCCCTATAGCTATTAACCAACCATATTACTATTTTACTAGCCATCATCATTATGTTATTCAGGTCAATGTGTTAGTTCAAATACTCATCTCCATAATGCACTTTCTTTAGGTTTTGATTTTGATACTTCAAAAAATGTTTGGAAAATTGTAAACTCATCATATCCAATTTTTACTGAAAGCAAGTAAGTATCGATAAAATACCTCACTCCCATTTTTATCTTTTTAACATACTAATAAATTTATTATTATAGTTGGGATTATACAGCATTAAAAGTTTTTAAGATCGGTAACTCAACTACAGAAATATGGTTTTTAGTTTCAGGTTTAATTGAATTATTAGTATCTATAGGTTTAATTTTATATGTCAAGAAATTTTTATCAAATAGATATAAACTTTTGTAATATATTTCCAATCAATTAATTTATAAAAAAAAAAATAATAAAAAAAATAGAAATAAAAAATTTAAAAAAAAAAAAAACATTAATTATAATTCCATTTATTTTACTTTGTAAATTTTTTTTTATAAAATATTGTTAGTTTGAAAGAAATATTAGAAAAAAATAATACTTTTACATTTTCATTCTTTTGATTTTATTTTAAAATAATTTATTTGTACACATTTTATTTAATTTTTTTTTTATTTGGCTATATATTTTATTTTGATTCTTCGGTTGTGGCTGGGGCAGATGATGGAGTGGTATTGCTATCGTTGAATTCTTCTTTAATAATTTTACCATCTTTCCATTCTTGGAATGCCCATTGTGATTTTTGAATTTGGTTACCACCATAAGTGAAGTCCATGAACATTTCATAAGCGGTGTTGTTACCATCAATAATTGTTTTTAATACACGAGCTTCTTTAATAACTGCATTTGAAACGAAGGCTTCTTCAGCTTTACGATTGGCTTCTTTACCAATACGATTGGTGGAATCACCTTTTTCGAACATAACGATATCATCGTGATAATATTTATCAAATACTTCTAAAATTCTATTTTCTTGAATACCTTTGATGACTTCTTCTAAATTAGCTTTGATGTTATGTTCAGTTGATGGTGTTGATGGTTCAGTTGGAGCTGAGGTTGGTGTAGTATTGCTATCGTGGAATTCTTCTTTGATGATTTTACCATCAGACCACTCTTGGAATGCCCATTGTGATTTTTGGATTTTATTACCACCATAAGTAAAGTCCATGAACATTTCATAAGCTGTGTTGTTACCATCAATAATAGTTTTTAATACACGAGCTTCGTGAATAGTAGCATTGCTAGTGAATGCTTCTTCGGCTTTACGATTGGCTTCTTTACCAACACGGTTGGTAGAGTCACCTTTTTCAAACATAACGATATCGTCATGATAATATTTATCAAATACTTCTAAAATTCTATTTTCTTGGATACCTTTAATAATGGCCTCGAGGTTGGCTTTAATATCGTGTTCGACTGGTGATTCAGATGGGGCTGGTGAAACTGGAGTGGTATTACTATCATTGAACTCTTCTTTAATAATTTTACCATCTTTCCATTCTTGGAATGCCCATTGTGATTTTTGAATGTGATGACCACCATAAGTAAAGTCCATGAACATTTCGTAAGCGGTGTTGTTACCATCAATAATAGTTTTTAATACACGAGCTTCTTTAATAACTGCGTTTGAAACGAAGGCTTCTTCAGCTTTACGATTGGCTTCTTTACCAATACGGTTGGTGGAATCACCTTTTTCAAACATAACGATGTCGTCGTGGTAGTATTTATCAAATACTTCTAAAATTTTATTTTCTTGAATACCTTTGATGACTTCTTCTAAATTAGCTCTGATATTATGTTCAGCTGGAGTATCTTGGGTGGCAGCTGGTGTGGTATTGCTATCATTGAATTCTTCTTTAATGATTTTACCATCCTTCCATTCTTGGAATGCCCATTGTGATTTTTGAATTGAGTTACCTCCATAGGTGAAGTCCATGAACATTTCGTAAGCTGTGTTGTTACCATCAATAATAGTTTTTAATACACGAGCTTCCTTGATAACTGCATTTGAAACGAAAGCTTCTTCAGCTTTACGATTGGCTTCTTTACCAATACGGTTGGTAGAGTCACCTTTTTCAAACATAACGATATCGTCATGATAATATTGATCAAATACTTCTAAAATTTTATTTTCTTGAATACCTTTAATGACTGCTTCAAGGTTGGCCTTGATGTCATGTTCTGCAGCTGGGGTATCGGCTGGAGTTGCAGTTGATGTAACAGCAACAGATGGTGTGGTGTTACTATCATTGAATTCTTCTTTAATGATTTTACCATCTTTCCATTCTTGGAATGCCCATTGTGATTTTTGAATTGAGTTACCTCCATAAGTGAAGTCCATGAACATTTCGTAAGCTGTGTTGTTACCATCGACAATAGTTTTTAATAAACGAGCTTCTTTAATAACTGCGTTTGAAACGAAGGCTTCTTCAGCTTTACGATTGGCTTCTTTACCAATACGATTGGTGGAATCACCTTTTTCAAACATAACGATATCGTCATGATAATATTTATCAAATACTTCTAAAATTTTATTTTCTTGAATACCTTTAATAACAGCTTCTAAATTAGCTTTGATGTTATGTTCAGTTGATGATGATGATTCGGCTGGAGCATCAGTAGCTGGTGTGGTATTGCTGTCATTGAATTCCTCTTTGATAATTTTACCATCTTTCCATTCTTGGAATGCCCATTGTGATTTCTTGATTCTATGTTCGCCATAAGTAAAGTCCATAAACATTTCGTAGGCTGTATTGTTACCATCAACGATTGTTTTTAAGACACGAGCTTCATGGATTTTAGCATTGGTTACAAATGCCTCTTCAGCTTTACGATTGGCTTCTTTGCCAACACGATTAGTTGAATCACCCTTTTCAAACATAACAATCTCATCATGATAATACTTATCGAATACCTCTAAAATTCTGTTTTCTTGAATACCTATAATGATAAATATATTAATATACAGATCTATTTAAAAACCATATTTAAAATAAATTTATTATTTACCTTTAATAACTTCATTAAGGTTATCTCTAATATTTGCAGTGGCTGTAGCTGTGGTGGTGGTAGTTGTAGTAGCAGTGTTATTTTCAGCTACATTACCTGCAGTTGTTGATTCTGATGCTACAGTAGCTGTGGTGGCGGCAGTATTATTCTCAACTGCTGGTTGGGCTTCATTTTTATTTTTCTTTTCTTTCTTTGATTTTCTTTTGAAGATTTTTTTAAAAAAATTCATTTTTATTATTTGTTGGTTATGCTTTTAATATTTTAAGTGTGAAAATATTGATTGTGATGATATTGATATTTTATATTATTATATTAATTTATATTTATAATAATGTGAACTATTTGATATTTTATAATTTGTGTATAAATTAAATTAAATTAAAAAAAAAAAAAAAAAATTAATTGTTTATATTAGAAAAATAAATATTAAATTATTTATACAATTGTATTATTGTCTTATTTTAAATTACAAATGAAAAATAAAATAAAAAAAAAAAATTAAATTATATTTTTTTTTTTAAATTTTTTTAAAATGGAAAAAAAAAAAAAAAAAAAAAAAAAATTTTAAAAACGGCATTCTGGTGCTTTTTTTTCGAAAAATGGAAGTTTTTTTTTTATTTTTATTTTAATTATGGTATTTTTTTTTCTTTTAATTTGATTTCATTGCATATAATTATTATTAGAAGCATTTCAAGAAGAAAAAAAATTAAAAAAAAGAAACGAAAACTAAAAAAAATTTAGATTAAAATCTGGAAAAACCGAAAGTTTTTTTTTCTTATTTTTTTTTAATTTAATAATTATTTATTTATTTTTTTTTTAATATTTATAGGTTCCTGATTAAAATAAAAAGAATTGGATCCATCTTTTTCCCCCAAACGATAAACTTAATCTTGATGTATTATTTTTGTTATATTGACTCTGAATATTGGAATTATTACTACTTAATTCATTTTTAAAATTATTGTTATTTTTAAAATTAATTGATGTTAAATTATCTTTTTTTAAAAAAAAATATTAGTTTTAATAAAGTAAATTTAGGATTATAGTACTTACTTAATAGAGACATTTTTATTATAATTGTTTATGTTTGTTTTTATTTAGTTTATTTCAAATAACTAGTTTAAACAATTTTCTATTTTTAAGCAATTTTTTAAATTTATTTTATTTTTAAAATAAAATTTTATAAAATTTTTAATTTAGGGTTTATTTTTTTTTTTTTTTTTTAGATTTTAGGTTTAAGCACTAATGTTATATTATGGTATTATTTTTTGTAGTCGAATGGGTAATCTATTAAATGTAATTTTTAGTAAAGAGTTTAAAGTTATCATTGCTTTATTAGTTAAACATAAAAAATTTAATGTGTTTACATAAGTGTGTGTTTTTTTATAAAAATAATAATAATTATTAATTAAGTAATTTTAGATTAAATAAAAACCCACATGCGTGGTTTGTGTGTGTTTTTATTTTTTATTTTTTATTTTTTTATATCTTTTTTTTTTTTTTTATATCTAATCTTGTTACATTTTAATTGTATTTTTTAAAAACTCATATTAATAATAATAAATAGAAAAACAATAGGACCCATTTAGGTCTATTGTAGGACATATAAAAAATAAATTAAAAATGTTAGGTTTATATCATTAATATTTTTTTAATTATAATTGTTTTGTGCAAAGACTAAATTTAAAATTTCTTTAACAAATTATAAAAATTTTTTTCATTTGTGTGCTCCATTATTATAATAAACAATAAAAAATACATTAAAAATATCAAAATAGTCATACAGATGAGAGTCGTATCAGTATTTATTATTCTAGGGTAATTGCTTTGGTTATTTCCCTTAACTCAAGTATTGGGAAAGATTTGTCACCCTATTAGATATCAAGTGCACAACTGGGACCAAGTTATAATTTATCAAATTATCTTTGGTTTTATAACTTTAATAAATATTATTTACTTTAAATAACTAATAGATTTGTACCTACATTACATAAAAATTTAATTAAAAATAGGGAATAAAATTAGTCTAAGTTTGACAAAAAAAAAAAAAATTCTGAGTTTCCCCCACTCCCACAACCACCCACTTGACTAATTTTTTCATTTTAAAAACTTAGAAACTTAAAAAAAAAAAACTTGAAATTACATTATTTTTTTGTATGAAAAACATTTAAAATTCTTGTACAATTTTATTTAATCATACCATTTTTGAAATATTTGAATAATTATAAATGACAGAGTTTTCGACAATATCTACTCTTGAAATGTTTGCACATTCCCTTAATAACACACATTGTTCTATTCTAGATCAACCCAAATTTGATCTGTTGTCTGTAACCAACAACTTAGCACCCGAAAATGTTCTTTCAATTTCAATTGCTTCTTCGTTCCGTACGAAGAAGCAACTGAAAGTACATTTCTTACAATTGAATATAATGTTGGATATTCAATACTATTTTCTTTCTAATATTTTATTGTATCATTTCTATGATCTAAACTTTCTTCTACACATAGTCAAGCTGTTTTGGGGTTTTTGAAATTACTTTTAGTGCATGGGACTAAAGCAACAGAGGTTTCGTTAGCACATTGATTGATGTTGTGATCTTGACCATAATTGTAACAAACTTTATTCTTCATTCGGAATGCAATCATGCCATTCTTCATTTCTTTTATTATTTCTTTTTTAAAGTTACTTTTGTTACTATATAATAGTTGTAAGTATTTTTGGATTTCTTTATACTTTGAAATATATGTATTTGTTTCTTTTTTTTCTTCAATAAGCATTTGTATAAATATATTAGTATAATTATAATTTTTTAATCAATAAATTAAATAATAATATGTATACTTTATCATTTGTAAAATGATATCTAATGTTATAGGGATGTTGATAGCTTTTTGTCTAGATCTTCAACTGAATTTCTTCTGGTAATAGGTCTTTTATTTTTTCCTTCCATTGATATTTAGTTATTAATATTAAACATAATAATGTATTTCACTCGGTAAAATTATTAAAAAATAATATATTTTTGTTAATTAAAATTAATAATAATCGTAATTAAATTTTTTTACTATTTTACTTATTTACCATATTATTTATTTTGTGAATTTTATTTTTTTAAATTTTATGTTTTATTTTTTATTTTTTCCATAATAAGAAATAGCTAAATTTGTTTTATAAATTTTCATTTTTTTCATTACAATGTATTGTCATTTATATTAATTATTTTTTAAATATAATAATGATAATCATTGAAATAATGAAAATTTTTTTTTGATTGTGTATAAAAAAAAAAATTTTAAAAATTTTAATTTAAAATAAAAAAATATAATCTATTATATTTAATAAGCAACCCACTTAATTTTTTTTCATTATATTATTTCTTTTAGAACTTCCATTAAAAAAGATAGCAATTGTTTTTTTTATTTTTTTAATAAATTATAATTTTAAATTTTAAATTTTTAATTTTTAATTTTTTTTTAAAAATTTATTAAAATTTTTTTTTTTTTTCATACTCACACATCTTACATTCCACATATTTTTTATTAAAAATAAAATTTTAATTTCATTCAGTATATTCATCAATTATTTTTTTTATTTATACTATAATAATAATCAACACAACCATTTAAATTAGTACGTTTATTTTTTTTATTTTTAACTGCATTTTGTGTTATTCGTAAGTATTTAATTTTATTATTTAATTTTTTTTTATTAATTTTTTATTAACCAATTTCTTTTTTTTTTTTTTTATAAATAGTAAAAATAACCTTAGTTCGTAATCAATTTTTTTTATTTAAAAAAAAAAAAAAAAAGTAAAAATGATAATTTCAATAGTTGGAGCTATCTTCCTTTTTTTATTTTTATTTTTTATCTCCAAATACTCCACCAATACCAACAATAACCCACCACCATCAGCACAAACTCAACAACAAAAATCGCCAGAATCACCACAATCACCACAATCACCACAATTTCCACAATTTCCACAATCACCACAACCACAACAGCCATTTAAATCATCAAGGGCAGAATCGAATTACCCAACATTTAACAGTTCACACTCACGTTTCAACACTGCAGACGGACCAACATCAACATCAGTAAAAACTCCAACAGCCAACCAACAACAAAGCGCACACAAATCTGAATACCCATCAGTCAATAAAGAACAATCTCGTTATAAGTGTGCAGATTCAACATCATTTAATAATCCATCTTTCAATTCTGCAGATAAAGAAAAATTAAATAGAGAAAAAGCAGAAAAAGATCGTATTGAAAAAGAAAAGATGGAAAGAGAAATGTTGGAAAAGGAAAGAGTCCGTGAAGAAAAGGAGCGTGTAGAAAAAGAAAAATTAGAGAATGAAAGATTAGAAAATGAAAGATTAGAAAAAGAAAAAATAGAAAAGGAGCGTTTAGAAAAAGAAGAGGTTGACGAATGTTGTATTTGTTATACCAAATTAAACTCCAACAATTCCACCTCTATAGATTGCGCTCATAAATTTTGCTACGGATGCATCACCAAATGGTACACAATAGAAGATACTTGCCCATTGTGTAGAAAAGTATTTTTATATATCCAAGTAAGTAATTCATACATTAATATTTATACATAATCAATAATATACATATTAATTTATTTTTTTATTTATTTGCAGAGAGAGGGTCGTTGCCCAATAGATGTTGAATTAGATAGAATACTTCAAAAATATAGTTCTGAAAATAATTCCGAAAACAATTCCAAAGAAGAATTCAAAGATAATTCCAACGATGAGTCCGAATATGAATCTGAAGATGATCAATCCGTTTATGAATCAGATTTCGATTCAGACGATCATTTAAATCATGATAACTCTTCTGGTAACAATGAAGAATCAGTTGACTCTATGTGTCTCGATTAATGAAATGGATGGGGATGAGATTAATAACTAAATCGTGTCATTCAATGTTTCAATTAATGAACTAGATGGCGATAAAATTATTAATTAAATCTTTTCAAATATTTCATTAAAATCGATGAAAATAGTTAACAATTCAGAAATTATAACGTTATCATCAAAATATAGTAATAAACAATGTATCATATAGTTCAACACTCGAAAATGTACAAGCAAATCCGAATATTAAATAGAAAGCAAAATTTAAAGGTAAAAACATTGATATCATTAAAATAATTATAATATAAAAGAAACTAATTTAATTTTAATATTTATATAGTTAAATTCAAATTCTTTATTTTTCCGAATCAATCAGTTTTTTCTCTAAAGTCTCTTATAAAACATTGGGTTTATGTTCAATAAATAGTCAAATCAAAGTGCACCATAATCAGGGAATCCATCAACATTATCACATTTTTTAAATCACCGCAACCACCTCAACACACTCAAAATTATAATACAGTAGTATAACCACAAGTCAAATTTTACACATGCCAATAACACATCACCACCTCAGTACACTTGGGTACCCCCATTGCAAATTTTTATAACACATAACAAAAACATCAAAAAAACATATTTCTTTTTTGCCATTAGTTAAAACAACCACAATCCATTATAATTACAAGTAAGTAAATTATCATAAAAATATAAACATCAACCAATCTATATTGATTGAAAAACTAATTAAGATTCAAACATAATTACTAACCAAATTAATTGCTACTAATAGACTGAAAGAATTTACTCAGAATATGATGTTTAGCGCTAGTAGTATCAATCAAAATATTTTTTTGTATTTTTAAAAGTTCAATTCACTGGTCATTTAGCTCATTTTTCATTGTTTATACCGATTCAAAGTAGAAATTATCTGTTGACCCCCAACTTTATTAAGATGGAAATGACTATTATTGAATTAATAGGTCATTTTTAATATTTGTATAAGAACCATTTAAATAAAACATATTACAAGATATCTGTTTATCAGCTAAAAATTAAAATAAAAAAAAAAAATATTGTCACAATATTTATTCAGTTTTTTTAATTTTAAAAATTTTATTTGTATTTTTTTTACAATAAGATATAATTGATTATCATTAATTAATATTTAGTATATCATCCACGTGATTTATATATTGCATCGATTCGGTCAGGGAGTGATCCATATAATGATTCTATGATTGATGTTACAATTGAATGAAATGCATCTTGACATACCCAAACTTGGTCTTGTGATGGGTCACTAAACATCTTTTTTGATACCCTTTCTTTAACAATTGACCAAATATTTATAATTATACTAATATCTAGACTGTAAGGTGGTAATGGATCAACTTGTATATTATTCTCCTCTTCTAAATATTATTTCACTATCTTTGCTGTATGCGAACTACAGTTGTCATCACAAATGATTGGTATCCTTTAAGGGACTTTATTTTTATATGTATAGTATTCTAAAGTTAGCTGTGTATCGCTTTGTTTAACTCCATTATATGTTTTGATTATAATCCATTTGATAAATGAATAAATAAATTGGACCATAATAAAGAAAATTTCCCAAAAATATTTCATTAACCCCACCCTTTCTATCACTTGTCTTGATATGTGATTCCAGTAAAACATTAGTTTCATAAGTGCCCAAGAAAATCTACCATGGTTACTATTAAATTGTTGGAGCCTTACTTCATCCATAACCATATGATTTTTCCATTGTTCCACAATAAAATTTAAATACGCAACTGCAAAATAAATCTTTTTCTTCTATTATGTCTAATCAATGGGGGTTTCTAAATTTTCTTTTTATATATTATATTATATCTATTTTATATCATTCTTACTGATTTGTTTGATTTTGTCCTGTATCCATTTTGATGCATACCAAATAATATTTTATTTTAAAAATTGAGACATAAAACACGTTCATCACCTTTGCCAAACTTTTTTTTCTCTCAGGACGTTGAATGTCATTGATTGTACCTGTTTGTTCTACTCTTTCTAATGTTTTTGCTACCTTTGAATTATGCACTCCCAATTTTTTTTGCAATTTTTGAGTTCGACTTATGACCTCTGTTTTTATATGATAATGTTGACTGTCGAACTTCATCACTTAAGTTCATTTTGTTTATTTAATATTATTTTTAAAACTATTAGTTACTTAATTATTAAATTAATGATAAAAAAAAATTAAAAAATAAAAATGTGGTAAAAAAAAAAGTAAAATTTAAAAAATTATAAAAAAAAAAAAAATTTCAATTTCAATTTTATTTATTTTCTATTTTTAATTCGACAATAACTATTGGATTTTAAATAAATATACAAATAACTATAAAACTATTAATCTTTGGTTTTTTTTTTAATTTTTATTTATTTTAAAAAAATATTATTTTAGTAATTTATTAATGGTCCGACCATCTTCTTGTTGAACTGGAGCTGTTAATTTTATTTTGATACCTCTGCTTGCTTTAACTCTTCCATAAATCTGATATAAATAATTTGTCATTGTTACTAACAATTGATAACTGTAAACCATAGAGGCAAAATACATTATCCCAAAAAAGCTTTGCTGCTTCCACTGCTGTTAATGTTCTCTTGCACGATATAATCTTAACCATCTTGCTGGATTTAATTCTAAAATATATATGAATACATTACAAAATAATAATTTTATTGATTAATTTAAAACATTTGCATTAAAAATCTTCACTTTTTAAAAAAAAAAAAATAATATAAATAATAAATTTATAAATTTATAAATAAAAAAAGAAATAAATAAATAAAGAAATAAACAAACAAATAAATAAATAAATAAATAAATAAATAAATAAATAAATAAATAAATAAATAAACGAGTAAAGAGTTAAAATACAAATAAATGTACTAGTGTATTTGTTTATTTTTTATTTATTAAGAAAGATTTATTCCCGAAATATGAATAATTTATTTTCCATTTTATAATCTCTTATTTCCATATCTAAATAATAACTACATTGATTGTTCCTTTTGATTTATTGAACAGTTCTAATTTATATATTATTATTTGAATAATTAAATTGAACAATTATAGTTTCTTAAGGAATTTTAATATTAAAAAAAAAATATAGTTATTATACTTTCTTTAAAGATTAAATTTAATTATAAAAACTATTATTATAAAATCTATAGTGGCTATATTAGTTAAAAATTATTATTATTATAATTTTTAATAATGATGTTCGCAATTCTTTTGTAGAAATTTGTGTGTGTGGTAAATTTCATTTTTTTTAAATTAAATTTTTTTTTTTTTTTTTTTTATTAAAAATTTTTTCTTTTTTTTTTTTTGTGGTGTGTGGGGGAAAATTTTTTTTTTTTTTCATTTTCATTTTCATTTTCATTTTCATTTTCATTTTCGTTTTATCAATATACATTTATTTTATTTTTTATAATAGCCCAAGCGAACAAACAAACAGGTAATTATATATATATATAATATGTGATAAAAATAAATACTAATTTTATTTTTTTTTTATTCCTTAGCATGCATTCGTTTTGGTCCTCAGCATTATCAGCAGCATTCATCTTCAGCATTCAGCTTGGTCCTCATCAACATCATCACCATGAGCATCCCCACCGGCATTCGTCTTGGTCCTCAGCTTTATCATCCTCAGCATTCATCTTGGTCCTCATCATTATTAGCATTCATCTTGGTCCTCATTATCATCATCATGAGCATCCTCACCGGCATTCGTCTTGGTCCTAAGAATTATCACCATCAGCATTCATCTTGGTCCTCATTCATCTTGGTCCTCATCCTCATCAGCATCCTCACCGGCATTCATCTTGGACCTCATCATCCTCATCAGCATCCTCACCGGCATTCTTTTTGGTCCTCAGCATTATCATCATTAGCAGTATTCATCAGCAGCATTTATCAGCAGCATTCATCGTCAGCTTTCGTCTTGGTCCTCATCATGAGCATCCTCACCGGCATTCTTTTTGGTCCTCAGCATTATCATCATTAGCAGCATTAGCAGCATTCATCAGCAGCATTTATCAGCATCATTCATCTTCAGCATTCAGCTTGGTCCTCATCATCATCATCATGAGCATCCTCACCGGCATTCGTCTTGGTCCTAAGTATTATCACCATCAGCATTCATCTTGGTCCTCATTCATCTTGTTCCTCATCATCATCCTCATCAGCATCCTCACCGGCATTCTTTTTGGTCCTCAGCATTATCATCTTTAGCAGCATTCATCAGCAGCATTCATCTTCAGCATTCATCTTGGTCCTCATCATCATCAGCTTTCGTCTTGGTCCTCAGCATTATCATCTTCAGCATCCTCACCGGCATTCGTCTTGGTCCTCATCATTATCATCATCCTCAGCATCCTCACCGGCATTCATCTTGGTACTAAGCATTATCATCATCAGCATTCATCTTGGTCCCATCATGAGCATCCTCACCGGCATTCATCTTGGTACTAAGCATTATCACCATCAACATTCATCTTGGTCCTCATCATCACCTGCATCCTCACCGGCAATCGTCTTGGTCCTCATCATCATCATCATTCGTCTTGATCCTCAGCATTATCATCATCAATAGCATTCATCTTGGTCCTCAGCATAATCATCATCATCAGCATTCATCTTGCCCCTCATTATCATCAGCATCATCATCATCAGCACTCATCTTGGTCCTCAGCATTATCATCACCATCAGCATTCATCTTGGTCCTCAGCGTTATCAGCATCAGCACTCATCTTGGTCCTCATCATCATCATCATCATTCATCTTGGTCCTCATCATCCTCATCATCAACATCAGCATTCATATTGGTCCCCATCATCACCATCATCAGCATTCATCTTGGTCCTCATCCTCATCAGCATCCTCACCGGCATTCATCTTGGTCCTCATCATCATCATCATTATTCATCTTGGGTCATCATCATCATCAACATCAGCATTCATATTGGTCCTCACCATCATCGTCAACCCTAAAGCTTTAGAAAAAGAACTTTTAGTAAATCAATAATAATTAATAATTTTATAAAAAAAAAAAAAAAAAAAAAAAATAATAATAATAAGAGAATATAATCTATTTGATGGAAGAAATACATTTTCCCTGGCCAGGCAAATATATTGGAACATCAATTAGAATTAGGATTCTGAAACATCATTAAATTTTCAATAAAATATAATAAAATATAATAAATTTTTTTTTTTATAAATAATATGTTTATTTTTTACCGTTTTCCTTTTTATTAAAAATAGAACTGTTCAAGTATAGGGTTATTTATTCATTGTAGAAATGAAAATTAAAACATCTTCAGATTGCAACTTATGCTCGTAATTTATCTTGATTTATTTATTTTGATTTAATTAAAGTTAACAATATCTATTATTATAATTTTTTTTTTTACTTTTTTTTTCTTTTTTTTTTCTATTCTTTTTTTTTTTTTTATTCCAAAATATTTTTTATAAATCATTAAAAATATTAAACTCAGTTCTATGAATAAAATTAAAGATAAATATTCAAGTTTTTTTTTTTGCTCTTCTTTTTGTTAAAAAAAATTTTTTTTTGTAAAAAAATTATGTTTGCTATTTCAAATATCAGAAAGAGAATTTAAGCAAATAATATTTAATTAAAATACACAATTTAAATAAAATAAGGTAAAAACTAAATTAAAAATATATGTATACCTATAAAAATTTTAAATTAAACATTATTGTTTTTAAAAATTAAATTTATTTCAGTTTTTTTTAATTTTATAATTATAATTTTTCTTTTTTTTATCATACATTTTTTTCTTTGTTATATAATATTATAGTTTCAATCAAAATTAAAGCTTACCAAAATTACAAATTCTTTTGTGGTATAGTAAAACATTAATTTTTTTTAAACTTATACTGAACATTCCCACATTCATATTTTTTTATTTGTATATAGTAATCATTAAAAATCTATATATTATAATTTATTAATATTTATTTTTTAAAATATTTAGTGTTCCGAAGAAAAGGAAGTCCTATCAAAAGAAAATGAGGAAATTCGATTAAAATTGAAAAAACAAACAAATTAAATCATCAAAAATAGAAATAATAAAAATAAAAATAATTAACAATAAATGAATAAAAAAATAAAATAAAATAAAATAAAATAAAATAAAATAAAATAAAATGAAATTTTTTATAATGTACAAATTTTTTATTAAACTAAATTTTCTAAAAAAAGTTTATGAACATGATCTAGATTGGAAAATGTTCTATCTGAAATGGTTCACAAAAGAAAAAACAAGATGGAAAAGTTTATGAACATGATAGTTCAAAAAAAATAAAATAAAAAATAATTATAAAAATAGAATTTATTTGTTTTAACCAAACTATCTTTTTTAGAAAGTTTTGTTATAATTAAAATTTATCACTCTTAAAAATAGATAAATAATATTTTTTTCTTTTTTTTTTATTAAATTTTAAAATTGAATTTTTTAATTTTTACAAAAATTAATTTTTTTTTTTTTTGCCCAGTAACAATTCCGAACATTCAAGTTTTTTTTTATTATTAATAATTAATTGATTTATCTCGAAAAATAAAAAATATTAAAAAAAAGGGTAAAAGAAAAATAAAAAAAAAAAAAAAAAAGATATTTTTATGATATTTTTTATATTTAAAAATATTTTTTTTTTTTTTTTTATCTATAATTTATTTTCAGTCATCCGAAAAGACATAATTTTCAAAATATAAAAATATAAAAATAAAATAAAAAATAAAAATATATTTAAAATAATGTATAGTCAACAACCGCCACAACAACAACAGTCTCATTCTATAGCAGTTACACCAGAGACACCACTAATCAATACTCAAGGCGATCCTATTGCACACGATATTGAATTGGAGGATTCAACAAAGTTTTTAAATCATCCAATTTTTTATTCAGTTTTTTTGGGGTGTATAGCTTTTATTATTTCAGCTATTACAAGTGTAAATATTAATAATTATAAATATTATAAAATAATTATATTAAAATTTTTTTTTATCATTTTATATAGTATGTATCAATTGAATATTATGCACCATCTAGTTCAGGGTACACAGTGATTTCAGCATTTTCAATTTTACCATGTATTTTGGCACCCTTTATTATTCACAAGATAACACAAAAAATAACATTAATTCTTTGTTTGTTGCTTTTGGTAATCTCTTTCTTCATTAATCAATATTCAAATAATGGTGTTTTGATTTTTGGTAGATTTTTAGTATCATTTTCAACAGAATTAAGTGCTATTTGCATTTTATCAGTTTTGGTTTTGGTTAATTGGGATACAAAGAGAATCAACCAATTATTTTGTCTTGTAGGTATATTATATCAATTTTAGAGTATTAAAACTTTGTTTATTAATTATTTAAATGTTTAAAAAAAATCAAAAGTATTATTTAGTTTCATATGCTTTGCAAATTTCAAATAGTTATATTACCGATATATATTACAAAGTAGTTAGTTCAAACTTTTTAATTGCTTTTATTTTAGTTGCTATCATCTATGCAGCCGTATTGGCCCAACCAAAAAGAGATTCCATTAATAATAAATTAAATCCACTCCATACAATCCACCATAGATATTTTGCAGAAAAAGAAAACAATTTTGCTTTATTACTCCCACTTCTTTTATTTTTTGGTTTCGGATATATCTTATTCGTTCCATTCTATGCTGCTGTTGCCGTAATCCCAATAACCATTCTTTTGGAAAGATATGGAAGATTAAGAGTTTTCCAAATATTAATGGGTATTGCTCTCATATCAGTTGTTACAGCTTTTATTCTTGCATATACCTATAACATTGTCTTTGTTGATGGTTTTGTTTATGGTTATACTTCTGGCGCCTATAAAGGTTTTTACTACATGTGCACCATCTCCTTCTCGATTTTCACTGCTGGCACATTATTGATTCTTAATAGTATGGTTTCCACCGGCTCAGTATTCGACAAAGAAAAAATAGTTGCCGTTCTTTCAGCCTTCAAGGGTGCTCAAGCTCTCGGTACTTTTTTATATTCTATTTGTATATTCTATATCTCTCCATGGGTCGGCTGGTATCTTTTTGTTATCCTCTACGTAGTAGGTTGCGTATTGTTCATGATTTTCTTAAAAGTTAAAGGTCAACATTGTTGTTAATACCACTTTCTAAAATTATGAAATTATAATATTACAAAATTATAAATTATAAAATGATATTATTATAAAATAATAAAAAATAAAAAAGTTTTCTCGACTTTAAAAAAAAACCATTTATTATTTTTATTTATTTAACTATTGATTGATAGTGAAACCAATTTCATAAAATCAATAATGGAGGTTGTTTCGAATTTTGATTGGTTTTCGTAGACTTGTGTAATCGATTCTATTGTTGATGAGGTGAAATGGGTGGAGTTTAGTGAGCTTAGGAATTTGTTTTTTAATAGTGGTATGGCTTCAATACGACGTTGACGGTGGCCAACTGGGTAGTGTATTTCTGCAGATGCTATGCTGTCGTCTTTAAATGTAATTTCGATTTGGTTTGCAATACTTCTTTTTTCTAAATCCAAGTAATCTACGGTGAATTGTTTATTTTCGGTACATTTCATTTTTTCACGTAGTAAGTCTATACGAGTATCTTTAATTGCAACCTGATCTTCATAGTGAGATGCGTTTAGTGTTCCATAGATTAGACCTATAGCGACCATATATTGAAGGCAGTGGTCACGGTCAGCAGGGTTACGAAGGAACCCCTTTTTATCGATGATACGTATAGCAGATTCATGAGTGTTGATTTGAATTGATTTAATGGAGTCAATGCCTCCATTTTGGACGACTAATGGGTGTAATTTAACGGCACACTCTACTGCTGTTTGGGCATGGAATTCTGCAGGGTATAGGACCTTGAATAAAACATTTTCCATTACATATGATGTATAGGGAAGTGGTACTTCAAAGGGTTTTCCATTAGTATAAACGTCATAAAATCCCCATTTTGGTGCAGTCAAGCAGGATGGATATCCCATTTCACCAGTCATTGCAATCATTGATAGTCTAACAGCTCTTGATGCAGCGTCACCAGCAGCCCATGATTTTCTTGATCCAGTATTTGGGAAGTGTCTATATGTTCTTAAGGCTTGACCATCGATCCAGGCATTGCTAATAGCATTCATAATTTGAAGTTTTGAACCACCTAGTAATTGAGTGCATACTGCAGTACTTGCAACTTTAACCAATATTACATGATCTAAACCAATTTTGTTAAAGCTATTCTTCAATGCCAATATACCTTGAATTTCATAGCTTTTGATCATTGCACATAATACATCAATCATCTTCAATGGCTCTTTGTTTCTTGATACATTTTGGTGTGATATATATTCGGCACATGCTAAAATAGATGCTAAATTGTCGCTTGGATGACCCCATTCACTTGCTAACCATGTATCATTGAAATCTAACCATCTATTCATACAACCTATATTGAATGCTGCCATTACTGGGTCTAATTGATAGCTGGTTCCAGGTACTCTACAGCCACAGTTTTTATCCACATTACCTGGTACAATTGGTCCCATTAATTTAGAACATTCTGGAAATTTTAATGCAAGAAATCCACACCCAATACTATCAAAAAACGAATAAAATGCTGTACTTATTGCCTCTTTACATTCCCTTACGTTATAAGAGACAACATACTCTGCAATATCTTCTATTATTTGATCCCATTTTTGTTCAACATTTGTGGCCATTTTTTTTATTAATTGTTTAATTGTTTAAAAAAAAAAATAAAATAATGGTGTGTATGAAAAAAAAATAAAAATAAAAAAGTAAAAATATTTTATATAATAATTTATTTATTTTTATGAAAATTCTAAATAAAGTAATTTAGTTTTTGTATTTGTGTATGTGTATATATATGTATGTGAAGTTGTTAAAAACACATTGGCAAATTAAATATTTAATATATTTTTTTTATTTTTTTATTTTTTATTTTTTTAATTTTTTTAATTTTTTTTTTTTAAATTTATTTTTTTTAAAATTATTTTTATTTTTATTTTTTTATTTATTTATTTTCTTAAAACTATTTATCCAAAAATATAATATAAAATGAATTTTGGGTCAAATTCAATGATTGGTGGTAGTAATACTACCAATGTAAATAGTAATAATATGAATGGATTTGGATTTGATCAATTTTCAAATAATTTTTCAATTAGATCCAAACAAGTAGAATCAATAAATAAAATGTTATCGTTAAAATCAGATTCAAGCGGCAGTACTTCAAGTAACAATAGTGGAAATAAAACAACAGGTTGGCAAGATGTATGGAAGGTTTTGATTTTTGATACATTTTGTAGTAATATTATTGCACCAGTTTTAACTAAAGGCGCACTTCGTAATCAAGGTATTACATTATACTTACCATTACATTCCGAAAGACAAGCAATTCAAGATGTACCAGCCATTTATTTTGTTTTACCAACATTAGATAATATTAAAAGAATTGCAGAGGTATGTAAAATCATATATTCATTCAAACAATAATCACCATCATTATAATATTAATTTTTTTAATTTTTTTTATAGGATTGTAAAAATAAATTATATGATAATATTTATTTAAATTTTGCAAGTAAATTACCAAATCCTTTAATGGAAGAATTGGCATCATTAACAATTCAAACTGATTCAGTATCAATGATTAGCAAACTATATGAACAATTTTTAAATTTTATTAGTTTAGAGAATGATTTATTTGTATTAAATAACCCAAGAAATTCATATTTAGCATTTAACGACCCAACTGTTAAGGATGTTCAAGCACAGGAAAATATTGATAGCGTTGTAGATAGTTTATTCTCTGTATTGGTAACAATGGGAGTTGTACCAATTATTAGATGTCCAAAGAATGGAGCTGCCGAAATGATCGCTAGAGAATTAGAAAAGAGAATCGCACAAAACATACAATCAAGTGGTAATTTATTTAGCAACAATGAAATGGGTTCACAATTATCATCATTCTATAGACCAGTTTTAATTTTATTAGATAGAAATATTGACCTCAGTGTATGTTTACATCATCCATGGACTTACCAAGCATTGGTCCATGATGTTTTAAACATGAATTTAAATCAAGTTAAGGTCGATGTAACCCAAGAAGGTGTAGCCAAGAAGAAAACATTCGATTTAGACTCTTCATCCGATAGTTTTTGGGAAACAAATACTGGTTCTGCTTTTCCAAGTGTAGCTGGTGAAATTAAAAATTTAATTGAAGATTATACACAACAAAAAGAAAAAATTAATCAATTAACCGATGTTAATGTTGAACAAGATGAATTGTAATTATTATTATTAAATACTACAAAGTAAATTTTTAAATATTAATTTTTTATACTAACTAATTTTTAGGGGTGCACCAAAAACAAACGAAAATAAAGCTAAAGGATTAGGAGCATTGGTTCAAGAAGTTAATGAAAAGAAAAGATTAATGGATTTACACACCAATTTAGCAACAGATTTAATGAAACATATTCGTGACAGACAAATAGATTACTTTTTTTCAATGGAGGAGTCAATTATTACTAGATCATTAACTGACAAAAAAGAATTAGCCTCATTAATTACATCACCAGTTGTTGGCGAAAACGGTGGCAGAGGAACTTTAGAGGATAAAATTCGTTTATTAATCATTTACTATTTATCAACTAAAAATATTCCACAGTCCGAAATGGATCAATATGAAGATGCTTTAAAAAAAATGGGTGCTGATTTAACAACTTTAGATTATTTTAAAAAGTATTTATATAATTAATAATTATAATAATAATAATTAGAATTTAAATATTAATTTTTTTATTTTATAGAACTAAAGCATTTAATGAAAGTTTAACTGCAATTGCAAATGTTAGTGGTCAACAAGGTAGTGCAAGTAATCAAAATAAACAAGGAGGTTTTATGCAAATGTTTACAGGTTATCAAGGTGTTGAGTCATTTGCAAACTTTTTCTCACAAGGTGTTAGATCATTATTACCAAAGAGTAAAGATCTTTTTGTTACTAGAATTGTCGAATCTGTTATGGATTTAAAAAATACTTTAGATGCCGATTTCCTCTATTTAGATCCAAAAATTCAAAATAAAGCAAATGTACCAAAAAGAACAACTCCATTTAAAGAAGCTATTGTATTTACTGTTGGTGGTGGTAATTATGTTGAATATCAAAATCTTCAAGATTATTCAAAGGTAATTATTTTAATTTATTCATTTCTTTTGGTTAGAAAAATTAAAAAAAAAAAAATTATTTTTTAATTTTTAATAACCACACAACCACAAACACCCCCACAAATTTATTTATACTAATTTATATATACTTTTTTATTTATTATTAGAAACATAACAAGAAAATTATTTATGGTTCAAATGAATTAATAACTTCAAAAGAATTTTTACACCAAATTAAATTATTAAAAGAGGTATCAAAATAAGATTTATAAAATTTTTGTTGCTGCAACCAAAAATTTACAATCAAAAAAATAAAAAATAAAAAAAAAAATGGTAAAATAAAAAATAATTATATTAATAATAATACTCATAATAATGAGTTTTCTATAGATTTTTTTTTTAAAAAAATAAGAAATTAATTTTTTTAAAATTATTTTTTTAAAAAAATTATTTTTTTTAAATTATTTTTTAATTTTTTTTTAAATAATTATTTAATTTTTTTTTTTTAACTTTTTTTTTTTTTTTTTAAAACTTTTGTATATATATAATTTCTCACACACACTTAGTTTTATATAATAATATAAAATTAAACATTTATTTCGCTTTATAAATTTTAAGCAACATAATAATAATATTTTTTTTTTGTACATATATTATAAATAGAAAAATAAATTTATATTAATATTTTAATATATATATATACATATATATTGTTTAGCAGGAGGACGCATAGATAAAAAATAGTAATAATAATAAATAGCAGTTTTTAAAATTATTTAAAAATGTGGGCACCAGAAGAAGATTATAAACAACCATTATTAAATGGTAATAACAGTAGAGTACCAACTAATGGTAGTGGAAAATATAGTGGTAGACACCAACCAGAACACAGTTCAAGAAAATGTAATGATATTTTATTCGCAATTTTATTTTTAGGTGTCATTGGTGGTATGATTGCAATTTCTGCGATCGCCTATTCAAAAGGTGACCCATCTAAATTAGTTCCAAGAACACCATTCGATAGCAGCAATTCTTCATCAGAAACTGAAACAGAAAAATACGTTATTTCTCATTTAGAAAGTTTAGTTGCAGAGTTAAGAAGAGATCAAGATATTTTAATTTATAGTGCACTTTTAGCCATTGCCTTGGGTGCTCTTTGGATTCAACTATTAAAATCTTTCACTAGATTCTTTATTTATTTCACTTTATGTATCGGTGTTGCATTAGTTGCTGCATTAGGTATTATGTTTATTTCATTAGGTAGAAAAGAAAGTAGCGAAAGGTAAGTTTATTATTATTCTATATTATAAAAAAAAAAAAAACAATTTATTAATAATTTATTTTTTATTTATTAAAATTAATAATTATAACTATAGTACCCAAATTGTTGGATATTGTTTATGTGCTTGCACATTGTTATTGGTTATTCTTATTGTTTATCTCAGAAAATCTATTGATTTAACATGTGCAATGTTCACAGAAACTTGTAGAGGTATTCAACGTAGTCCATCAGTATTTATTGTTGGTGCATTAATTGTAGTATTTTTCCTTGGTTTCATTGCTTATTGGACAAGTTCATTTATTTATTTATTCAGTATTCCAGGCTCAACCGTTAATCCATTCAATGACCATTCATCACACAGCGGTTCAACAACATCAAGTGAAGACCTTCAATCTAGATTCAACACAAAGATTAGAAATTTAATGTACTTTATGATTTTTGCATTCCTTTGGGCAAGTTCATTCATTTCTGCAGTTTTCCAACATTGTGTTGCTGGTGTCGTTTCAAATTGGTACTTTTCACGTGATCCAACTGGTAAATCAGCTGTTGGTCAAGAAAATGCATTCAACTCATTGGGTCGTGCTTTCACCACTAGCATTGGTAGTTTAGCTTTTGGTAGTTTAATCATTGGTTTCATCGAATTTATGCAATTCATGTTACAAGTTTGCAAAAACTCAAATGCCACCAACAAACTTGTCGTTATGGTTGTCTCTTGTTTACAATGCATTTTAGGTTGCATCGAATCTATTGTTCGTTGGATTAACAAGTTTGGTTACATTTATGTCGCTATGCACGGTCATAGTTTCTGCACTTCAACCAGAGAATGCTTTGATCTTATCTCTAGAAACATGTTTAACGCTGTCATCATGGACTTCATTGGTGGCTTAGTCTTGTTATTAGGTAAAATTTTTGGTGCCGCCGCTTCAGCCTTATTTACCACTGGTATTCTCTATGGTATGGGTAAACAATTAAATCCAATCACAATTGCTCTCTCTGCCATCTTTGCTTTCTGTATCTTTAATCTCTTTACCCACATTGTTGGTATTGGAACAGACACAATCTTTGTTTGTTACCTTGAAGATTTAGAAACCAATAAGGATGGAAACCTTTACATCTCACCAGATCTTCATGAACTCTTACAATCAAAATGTGAAGAGCTCAATGAAAAAAACAAATCCTCAAATGTTTAATCTTTAGAAAATTTTAATAACTTAATTTATTCAAGAATCATTTTTTTTCATCAATTTTACTATACATAATAAATAAATTTTAAAAAAATAATGTTCAATAGAAACTTTTTTTTTTTTTTTTTTTTTTTTATATTTATAAATAATAATTATTTAAACTAAAAAAAAAAAAAAAAAGAAAAGTAATAATAAAAAAAAAAAATAAAAAAAATCTAAATAAAAATAAAATAAAATTAATAAAATCATAATCTAATAAATGTATAAATACCTTTTTATTTCTTAGTTTTTTTCTAATTTATTCATTTGTCATGACAAATGATTGGCACCCTTTCAGGGACTTTATTTTTATCTGCATAGTATTCTAAAGTTATCTGTGTATCGATTTGTATAATTCCATAATATATTTTGATTATAATCCATTTGATAAATGAATAAATAAATTGGACCATAATAAAGAAAATTTCCCCAAAATATTTTATTAACCCCACCCTTTCTAACACTTGTCTTGATATGTGATTCTATTAAAATACTGGTGCCATTGTTCCCAAAGAAGATCTACCATGGTTACTATCAAATTGTTGGAGCTTTACTTCATCCATAAACATATGATTTTATAATGTTAAATTTACCATTTAAAAAATTGAAACATAAAACATGTTCATCACCTTCATCAAACTTTTTTTTTCTCATGGGAAATTGACGGTGGAACTTCATCACATAACATCATTTTGTTTATTTACTATATATTATTTTTAAACTATTACCCTTAATTATTAAATTAATTATTATGAAAATGATCAATGTCCATTTTGTTTTTTCTTTTGTGAACTCAGCAAGTACTTTTTCCAATCTAACTAGCTCCTCTTCAAAACACTCTAGACAGTTATGAATTAGAAGAAAACAATCTTACAGCCGAAAAAAGAACCTTTAAAGAAATAATTATACACCATAAATCTCAGTTTCTTTTTTCAGAACTAAAATATTTGATTTTAAAACAATTTATTTATTTAAAATTATTATTATTATTATTATTATTATTATTGTTATTATTATTGTTATTATTATTATTAGTTTATTTTAAATCTAATAATCGCCTATAATTTAAAAATAGTGCATATCAAAACAACTTTTTTTTAAATATTTCCTTGGAGGTTTATTTTTAAAAATTTTTAAAAAAATTTATCAGTTGTGGGTGTGGGTTATTATTTTTAATTTTTTCTGTATTTGTAAATTATTATTAAGTAGGTATTGTGAGTTTGATGTTGTTGTGTTAAGTTTAAATTGTAGTGTGGATAAATTTTTAAAGTGTTATTTTGAAAAAAAAAAAATAAATAAAAAATTGTATTGCATTGGGTTAAAATTCAATTAAGATTTATATTGATTCTATATATAATATTATCATTGAATTTTTTTTTTGTTTGATAAATTTTTGATGGGTTAACAGAGATCTTTACAAATTTTTTTTTGTTTTGAATTTTTTTACTTTTTATGTGATTTAAATGGCATTATAATATTATATTCTGATTTAATATTAAAAAAAGAAAAAAAAGTTAGAGTGTTATATATTTAGACCTATAATATTTTGGGAAATTTTTTATTCTTGCATTATTGACACACAAATTGTGTGTTTTTGTGTTTTTATTTGTGTGGTGTGTTCATATGTGTGTGTGGAGAATAACCCCAAATAATTTTTTTAACATAAATTATAATTTTTTTTTCAGCATTTTTTAGACAACTCCTTGTTATATTTATATGGTGAGTGGTTATTTATTTATAATTTTTTTTTCATATTGGAAAAAAATAAATATAATTGGTAGTAACTATATTATTTGAAATATATTACAATAATTCTATTTATAAATGTACTATTTTGAATGAACATAAGTTTCATTATAATAAATTGGGGTGATCATATAAATACAAATTGGTATGATTTAATATTACATAATATTAAGTAATATTAAAAAAAAATTTAGGTAATTTATTTTTATTTAATTTTATATTATTTTATATTTAATTTTTTTTTTTTTAATTTAAAATTTAAATTGGTTGTTTCTTAAAATTTTTTTTTTTCTTTTTGGTTAATTATTTTTTTTATTTTCTTATTATAATAAAATTATTATAATTTAAATATAAATCAGCTATTGTCAGTTATAATATTAATTAAATATTGTAAAATAATAATATAAATTTTTAAATTGTTTTTAACAACAGTATTTTCATTTTTTAAAAAATAATTAAAAAATGAGATTAGTAAATACCTTATTAAGGTTATCTATATTTTTTACATTTTTTTATTATGTAAAATGTTTTGATTGTAAGTAAAAAAATGGTTATATTTATATAGGTTTATTTAATATTTTTTATAATTACTAATATTTTATTTTTTTAAATATTATAGATAGTTATGTATATCAAAATCAAAAATTAATTTACACCAGTACGGCAAGTGCAACTGTAACTCTTTCAAAAATTGCACTTTTGGATAATTCAAATAAAGAGTTATCAAAAATACCTTTTACATGTACTCTAGATGCTTCAAAAAAAAATGTGTGTACCAGTGATATTCTTAACCCAGCTAATTTAATTTCATGGAGAATCAGTTTTTATGCCAAAGATAAAACAGGAAAAGAAAGTGAAAAGAATGATGGTACATTCCCATCGCCAGCACCTAATCTCTCCCCTCTCTCAAAAATCCCAACTAAAGGTGGCCAACTCTTGCTCAAAGGAGATTTCTTAAGACTAGGACAAGGTGACCCAACTGTTATAACATTTATCTCCGACAAAACCACCTCTTTAAAAGTTATTCAACAATCTGGAAGTTTCGATGCATCATCTTTCTCAGTTAATGCTCCAGTTGGTTGTGGTACCTTTAATATTAAAATTGGAACCAAGTATTTCTCGGGTTCCTACATATCACCAACCATTACTTCCATAGATGGTAAACCAGGTCAATACAAGATTCAAGGTACAAATTTTTTCAATGATGCAACAAAGATTGACTTAAAATCAGGTACTACTTCAATTAACCAAGCTATAACATCAGTGAGTGATAGCGAAATTGTCCTTAATTATACTCCTCAATATGCTGAATTAGCCTCAATTTCATTAAGCGTAGGAAGTCTTAGTGCCGCTGAATCCTATTCATTAAAAATTGCACCAATGCTTGGTTCTTATGTTCCAGATACCGTCACAAAAAGTTCTGGAGGTGTTCTCACAATTGCAGGTAAATGCCTTTCACCTCCACCAGGTTCAGATGATGCTATTTTAGTCGATGTTGGAGGAGTAAGTTGTCCTGTTGTAACCAATCAAACAGATAGTATTACTTGTAACATGCCAAAGTTTTCAGGAGAAGGAGATTTAAGTAATCTTAAAATAACAGTATCTGTAGGAAGCATTTCAAGTGATAATAGTGTAAACTTTGCTTATTTCACCAAACCTATTTTAGAAACCATGGTCCAAAATAATTATAATTTCACTGTCTCTGGTAAAAACTTAGGAACATCCGGTACTTCAATTATTGTAACCCCTGATGGTAGCACTGATGCTGTTGAAATTACTAAAGATATCCAATATGATCAAGAAGAAAAGTTAGTTTTCACTCTCCCAATCAACATGGATAAATGTTTAATTTCAATTAAAACTGACCAAGGTACTTCAAACCCAATTCAAATCGATGCTAAACCTGTTGTTTCATCATTTAAAGGCTTCCCACCAACAAAAGGTGGTTTACTAGTTATTGGAGGTGCTTATATCGATCCAGCTTCAAAAGATTCCATTGTTATAACCGTTTCTAATCAAGGCGGAAATAGTGATGGTATGAACTGTGGTAATATTCAAGTTAGCCAAGCTGATGGAACCATATCATGTGATCTCCCAGCAGGTACTGGTAATAAACTTGTTGCAACTATCGTTATTGGTGATGTTTCCTTCCCATTATCAGGTTTATCTTACCAAGCTCCAAGCAATATTAAAATCCAGTCTCAAAAAGGTGATGTCCTTGAAATCTCTGGTGATAACCTTGGAAGTAAGGCTTCTCTCATTAGCTTAAAAGTAGGAGATAAAGTAGTTTCGGCTTCAAATATAAATAGTGACCAAACTGTTGCTACATTTTCACTTCCAAGCTATATTACATCTAATAAAAATACTTTTGTAATAGTAGATGGGGTTCAATCAGAAAGTCAATTCGATCTTGCAATCAAACCACAATGCTTATCAATTGAAAAATCAAACACCGCAGGTCAAGATATTTTCATTACTGGTGCATTTTTTGATAGTTCAAGTAAATTCCAAGTTTCTATTGGGGGATCTGCTGCAATTGATGTAAGTGTAGTTAATGCCACAGTTCTCAAATTTGCTGCACCAAAAGGTAGTGGTTCAAATAAATTAATTGCCATCACTTACAATGGAGAACCATTAAACGATGAAAATAAACTTTACTTTAGTTATAATCCACCAACAATTCTCTCTGCAACCAGTGTAGCCGATAGTAAAGGTGGTGTAGTAACAGTTTATGGTAGCAATTTTGCAGAAAATGGAGCAACAGTTAAAATTGATTCAAAAGTATGTTCAAATATTACAGTAATCAATTCAAACTCATTAAAATGTACAGTTCCACCAGCCCCAGCTAATGCAACTGCACCAGTTAAGGGTAAGAAATATCCAATTATTGTTTCAATTGATGGTCAAAGCGTAACTGAAAATAAATTTGAATATAATAATGAAGCTATTAATACAATTCCACCAGAATTAACCAAACCACCGGTTCCAACCAAAAAAACTGAACCAACTCAACATCCACAAGAAACCCCATCTGAACAAAATAACAATTCGAATATAATTTATCATTCATCAATATTAATATTAGTTTCAATAATTATAAATATAATCTTTTAAATTTTAAATGATTATATTATTAGTTATTATAAAAAAATAAAAAAAGAAAGAAAAATATATTCAATTAAATAAATAAATAATTCAATATATAAAATTTTAAATAATATGTTTTTGTTTTATTTTTTATTATCACACTAAATTTTTGTTTAATTTTATTTTTTTTTATTTTTTTTTATTGTTTTAATTTTTTTTTTTTTTTTTAATTTTTTTGTAAAATCTAACACATCAAGTGAATAATTTATTTCATCAAATAATTATGGTTTAAAGTCTCGATCAAATAGTAACAGCTTAGAACCTGTATCAAGTAGTAATTTAGAATCCAATGTATCAAGTAATGGTTATTTTTTAAAATTTGTGGGGTCTATTTCATTAGGTGATTGTAATTCAGAACATATTTAATCAAATAGAATTATGTAATAATCCCAATTGTGCATAATCAAACAAGACATTAGGCAAAGGTAATGGGTTTGCCAAGAATTCTTTATAATAAGATGTTTAATATAATAAATAAATTGTTATTTTTAAAATTTTTATTGTTTTTCTTTTTTATTTTTTTGTTTTTCTTTTTTATTTTTTTATCATCATCAGCATTCATCTTGGACCTCAGCATTATCATCATCATTCATTGGGTATATGTACTTTAAAGTAAATAACTCATCATTCAAAGACATATAATATTATAAATAATATATTAGTATAAATAATAATCAACATTAGATATAGTGTAAATAACCATAATATAGAATTAGATATGGATTATAATATATTTTTTATTATATATTAGTGTTTAGCACATATTCTCCCAGTCAAAAGTAATCATAAGGAATTGATTAAAATATATTAAAAACCATTCTATACAAATCTATCTTATAAGATCAAAAATTATAATTTAAATTTAATAATAAAAAGATTCTATTATTTTTTGTAACTTTTTTCTTTATTTTATTTTTGTGTATTATATTTTATTTTATAAAATTTTAATCTTTCTCGATAAAGAATAAACTTTATTGCACTACTTTGCAAACAAATAAACTTGCACTTGAACCAAAAGATGTTGTTTTTTTAACTGATTTTGGTATTATGTTTTAGTTGGTTTTTAAATTAATGAAATATATATAAAAAAATCTTCATTGTATCTATATTAAATAAATTATTTAAATTTTAATTTTAAAAAAATGAAAAAAATAAAAAAATAAAATAAAATAAATTTAAAAACAAAAAAATAAAAAATAAAAAATTTTAAATAAAAAAAAAAAATTGAAAATTTCACACAGTTAAATTTTAAAATACAATAATATGTCGAATAGTTCGGAAATAGATAATGATTTTATAATAGTAATGCAAGAAGAAAAGACCACATTAGATAAAATTGAAAAATTAATAAATAAAGAATCATTGTCCATTGACGATATACATCAACTGATTGAAGAAATCCAACAACTCGATTTTGAAATAGCTTTAAAAACAATTTCAAATAATGACTATCAATTCATTAAATTGTTATGTAACGAGGCTAAAAAGGTAACTAAACACTCTAAACAATTTATTATTATTTATTATACCTGTTTATTAACTTTTTTTTTTTTAAAAATAATAATAGAGCATAGATTTCAAATTGGTTACAGAGATTATTAAATTCATTAATGTTATAGCAAAGGAAGATAATAAAATTATTGAAATTTTAGTTGATTTAGAATCTTTTAATTGGATAATACCAAATTGTTTTATAGTGGAGGAAACGGAATCATCAGATTACTTAGAGACTTTAATTCTTATATTTTCAAATGGGGATAAAAAACCACTGCCACAAAGCGAACTGCAGAAATTAGATGATACATTTTTAGACTCATTATTAGAGCTGGCTCTCAACTATAAAGATTACTATGAAACGAAGTACATTCATTTATTATACTATACAATGGTATGTATTCTCTTTATAACGATAAAATAAATGTTTCATTAATTTAATATTAATTTTATCTTATTTTAGTTTGGATATCAAAAAAATATTATAAGTGATGGATATTCACCTTTAATTTGTAAATTATATTCAAATAAACAAGCACCAGAACTTGGACCAGAAATGATAGCCTTATTAAATAGAGCACAGTTGGAATATGGATTACTGCCACAATGTTTATCTTTAATAAATGATTTATTCTGCTATAGCCAAGATTATAATGTACCCTGTTTCTTTTACACTCTGGATATCAAAGTATTGATCGATATTATCATTAGAGAAATCCATAATCTAGATGAATTAGATCCCACAAGATGGCAATTTTTAGAAGTTTTATCAACCATAATAGATCATGATGAATACGAAAATACCTATGTAGAAAGCAATAGCTACTCTTTCAATATAAATAAAAATAGCAATGCCTCAACTGTGGATATATTTTATAAAATCAGTGATATCAAAAATGTTTTAAATCAATTACAAGATGAAAGATCAAAAGAAAAAGACCCAAGATCCTCAATGATTGCGACTACAATTTTAAAAAAGCTAAATAAATTATTAAGCAGAATATAATAAAAGGAAAACCATTTTTTTTTTAATATTATATTTTTAAAAATATTATAACTTTAAATATAATATTATTTATTTAAATATTAATTTTTTTTTTTTTTTTTTTTTTATATTACATATATTATTTTTTTTTTTTCTAAAATATATTTTACTATTTTTATAATTTAACTATTACATTAGGTAAATTACCAGTTGAACCATTATTTATTGATTGGGATAAACTACTTGAAGAGGTCATTGAAGAGGTACTACTTGCTAAATCACGGTTATTGTTATTTAATTCACGAGCACTACCTAAATTAATTGAGCTGGCTGAACCACTTGTACCAATGGCACTTGGTTGGTAACCAACAATTGGACTATTAACAAGAGTATCTGCGAGAGCACTAAGATCTTGCTCGGTATATTTTGGAATTTTGTTGATAAAGGTGGAAACTTGGTGAACGATTTGAAGATTGAATGGGAATTGATGGTGACGAATCTTTGAAAGAATATTATAAAGGTGAACTCTCTTGGTAAAGTTAATGAGGTTGTTCATATTTGATGGATAGTCTCTTTCAATGTTTGCAATATCTTCACGAATAACTTCGACCCATGGAACACAAACTTGACTCTTTGCTAAAGCTTCACGATATGTTTTATAATTATCATTTTTGGAAAAGAGATATTCATGTTCGGCAATGATTTCACGATGACGTGGGGTGAAAAGTTCTGGACGAGCTTGAAGTAATGGATGTTGGAAACCTTGTAACATTGAATGAAGAGTTTGGAAGTTACATAATTGTCTAAGACATTCAGTGGTCTTTATAAATTTATCTAACATTTTCATTTTGTTCTTTTTATCACGAGATTCTTGAAGGACGGTATGGACAACCCATCTAGAAACATCGGTAGCACGATTTAAAAAGGTCATTAAGTTTGGTGATGTAGCCATATTATATTGGAATTCACCATAACCAACAACACGAACCATAAATTCTGGTGGTGGGATATTACCAAAAAGTTTAGACTCTACTAAAGTCATCTGTCTTGCAATTTCCAATTCATCGATATGAAGGAGTGTTAATTGTGGAGAGAAAATATTCTTTGGTACTTTTGGCTCTGGTGGTGGGTTATCATATGGAATGACATCTTCTTGAAGAATTTTGTTTTTGAGGTCACGAAGTTTTTTAATATTTTGATTACTATCTCTTGTTAATGAACCATCAATAAAGTTATTAAGAGTGGCTACTAAAACACCCGATCCTGGACCAGATCTAAAATCCCATGCACATTTATCTACCCAATACTTGAGAACATCACATACTCTTTGACGAACTGGGTCGACAACTTCAGGTTTGTATTTTGGATCATTATTATTTGAGTTTGGAACTGCATAACGTTGAATTAATTTCTTGAGAAGTTTTTCAGAGGTTGTAAATGATGAATGTGTATATAAAAAGGTTTTGAGGAAATTTGGATCGACAATTTTTTCTTTTGGTGCTAAATAATGAATAAGCTTGTTAAATGTAGCGGCTTTAATTTGAGGTTGACCGTTTTCGGTTTCAGTTTTTCTAATATTTCTTGGATTATCTTCTGGTTCTTCCCATACGTTAATATCTTCCTCCTCATCAAATCTACGATAGTCATGGTAGAGATGATCAACAACTGGAACTTCTGGATCATTACCTTCTTCTTTTGGGAATAATGCAAGATCGGTATCAAAAACATTCTTGTTTCTTAAACGTGGTTTAACTAAACGTAGAAGAGAAACCAAACGACTTTCACCAGATTCTGTTGGTTGATGAAGTACACCAGATTCTTTTTGAATTGCTGCAATAACTTTATGATATGTATTTCTTTCTAAATACTCCATAACTAACTGAAGTACAAATTGATGTGTTAAAGCTAATTTATTTTCTGTAAATGATGGTGTTGCTAATGTTTTTGCAAAAGATTTAGTGCCAGTAAATGCTAAAGTCTTTTCTCTTAATTCTAAAATTTCTGGATGCTTTTTCATTAATGATGCCTCCCATAATTCTTTTGGAATATTTTGAACTCTATTTAATTCATAATCTATAAAAAAAAATTTAAAAAAAAAAAAAAAATTAATATTTAATTATATTATTAATTTGCTATATTCAATATTAAACTTACCATCTTGATAATCTTCTTCAAATTCATCCTTTCCAAATGAGAAATAATCAAAAGATGAATCTTGTACACCACCCCAGAATAAAATTGAATTTCCTTTGACTGTTGATGAGTGACCAATACGATTTGTAACATTATTTGATGATGAAATCTTAAAACATTTCTTTTGGTCTAAAAAATTTAATTTTTTGTTAGCAATTCCATTTACAAAAATAATTAAATATTATAATATTATACATACATAAATCATATTCATAAATATCTAAATTTTGAGATTTAGTACCACCTGAAACAAAAATTGAATCTTGGAAAAGAACAGCTGAGTGGTCCATTCTTGGTGTAATTGATGAACCTTCAAATTGAGAAGGTTTCCAAGAGTTGGTTGAAAAAGTGTAGCTATAGGAAGTATCTTCCAATAAGTTACCAGCTTGATCTTGACCACCAAATACATACATAACACCTTTATGAATAGTAGCTGAATGACCTGTTCTTGGTGTTGGTGGGCATGTTGTTAAAACTGTGCTCCAAACTTTGGTTTCTAAATTTAATGAGAATACTTCATTATTTACTTGTTTAGTATTATCTACAACTGATGTACCACCAAAGACAACCATATGATTGCCATCAATAACTGCTGTATGTCCTGATCTTGGAGTTGGTTTTGTGCCTTCGGTTTGAACCTCTGACCATGATTGGGTTTCTAAAAATTATTTTAATAAAATGATTAATATAAATATTCTTTTAAATAATAATAATAAATAAATTATAAAAATGCTTACCAAATGAAAATACATGTAAATCATTTTTAGCACCTGTTCCAGAAGCACTATAACCACCAAAAACATAAATTGAATTATTCCAAAAAACACATGAATGTCTAGTTCTCATTGATGGTGTTCCTTTCATAGTTGGGATAATAGTCCATGTTTTGCTTGCTAAATTAATTTAAAAATAAAATTAATATCGATTAATTTATACATATTATATGTATTTTACTTACCAAAATTATAATAATAAAAATCATTGGAATACTCAGAAAGACTTTGACCACTGCAACCACCAAAGAAATATACAGAATCTTCAAAAACAATTGATGAATGATTTTGATGTGAATGAATATCACTGTTATTATTTCTTAAACCATTGTTATATAAATTACCATTCTTTGTATTTGGATCTACTGTATTACCTGAATCCTCTGAATATAATAATGAATCTGCTGTTGGTGAAGATGATGATGAAATTAATGATGATGATGGTGGTGATGAGTTTTCTGTATTTGGTAATAAACTATTATTAATTATTGCTAAAGATGTACTTGTTCTATATTGTCCTCCGGCTATTAATTAAAAATGTTAATAATTTATTAATTTTATTTGTTTTTTTATGTATCATGATTTTATGATGATGCTTACTTTTAATTTGACTTGATGATAATGTTAATGATTTTTTATCGGTTGGAGAAACATTAGAGGTTGTACCACTGCCACCACTTGTATTTAAAAATGAAACTGAAGTTCTAATTGGGTTGGTTGATGAGGTTGTATTGTTTGAATCAATTGGTTGTGATGAAATAATTGGTGACATACCTGGTGATGGAACTGGTGATGCACTTGTTGATAATGATGCTGGTGATGGTGATGGTGAATTGTTTCCTGAATTACTAAATACTGGTGAAGTTGGTGCAGGTGATGATGGTGTTGATGTACCTGTTGATTTTGGTGGTGGTGGTGGTACTTTATTTAATAGCGAAGATGATTTAAATTTATTTAATTTATCTGCCATTTTATCCATTATTTACGTATTTCTTTTTTACACAAAGAATACTATTATTCACTACTATTATATTACAAATTATATATTATAAATAAAGATCTAAATTGAATTAGATATTGTGTTGATGTTGTTGTTTTTAGTTTTACTGTGTGTTATTATTTGTTATTGTGTGATATTATTTTAAAACACACAATTTTTTTTTTTTTTTTTTTTTTTCAAAAAATTATATTATTTTTTTTTTTAGTAATTTTAATTTTATTTAAAATAACCTTTAAAGCATGTAAATATATACTTTTAAATCTATATTATATTTATATATAATATATATAAAAAAAGAAAAAAAAAAGAGATGAGGGTTTTTTATATAATAAATAATTACAAAAAAAAATAAAAAAAAAATTAAAAAAAATAAAAAAAAATGTTAAAAAAAAAAAAAAAAAAAAGATATTTTAAAAAAATTTTAAAAAAAATTAAAAAAAATAATAAAAAAAAAAATAAAAAAAAAAAGAATTTTTTTAACTATAGACAAAATTTATTAAGATTTTTTTTTTTATAATTATCTATTTACTTGTCTTTGCACATTAATATTTGATCGTAAAAAAAAAAAAAAATATTTTTCATTTAATCATTTAAACAGATAAACGGATTGGAATTTGGTTTCGTCCAATGTTTAGAAAATAAGTAATGGTGTTTTATGGAAATTATTAAATTTAAAATAAAAAAATAGATAAATTTTATGTATAAATTTGCTTTATTTTATTTTATTTTTTTTAAATTTTGCACTGTCAACAAAATTATTTTTCTATTAATAGAAAAATAATACGTTTCACATCCACATGTCAGAATATCCAAAAAAAAAACAATTTTTATAAAGAGATAAGTTGTAATCAATCAAAAATAAAATAAAATAATCAATATCCCAAGTAAAACTCCCAACCAATATGATATCTCATACATAAATACAGTTTTCAGTTTAAACTTTAATGTAGGTTAAAATTATTTGAAGATTAAAAATAGATGCTTTTTTTTTTTAAAAAAAAAAAAAAAAAAAAAAAAAAAAAAAAAAATCATTTGGACAGAACCCGATTTTCATAACTAATTGTTTAAATCATTGCTGTAAGGAATTCTTGAAAACAATAATTTTAATTTCAATTTATTCTTTCAAAAAAATAAAAAATATTAAATTATGGGTCTAATAATATTTTTAATTTATTCTCACAAAAAAAAAAATGAAATAAACAAGAATCTTATTTTTTTAAATAAATATTATATATTTTATTTACATTAATCTTACATATATTATTTTTAATTTAATGAAAAATAAAAAATAAAGCAAATTTTTATTGGCACCATAAAAATTTACCCTATTTGATTGCATAATTGTGCAATCAAATTATTATTGAATTGTTTTTAAAAAAAAGTTTTTTTGGTAAATTATTTATAAAAATATAACTTTTTATAATTTTTTATTTTTAATTTTAGCAGCTTTAGATGAGGATGAAGAACTAGTTGATGAAGATGATTCTGTTTTTAAAGGTTTTTTTTGAAAATCTTGAGATTTTTCTAAATACTCCTTTAATTGTTTAAGATCAGCTTTCCAAAGAGATGACGAATCTGAATCTTTAATTTGATTAAACTCGACTTGACGTTTGTTTAATTGTGATTGTAAATTATCTATTCTTTCTTTGGTGATATCTAAAATTGATAATGAGAAAAGGTGTTGGTATTCTTCTGGTGTATGGCTACCGAAATCATGTTGACTTTCGAGGTCATCGATAAGTTGTTGTTTGGTACGACCTTGGATCTTTAATTTACCAGATGCTATAGTCTCTAAGAATTTGATTGTACTTGAAAGACGTTTAATTTGTTGGGTTAAGCTTGCCATTAAATGGGAACGACGTTTATTGTAGAACTCTAAACGGATGTTGAAAAAGTGATCGATAATTTCCTCTGGTGATTCATATTTTACAATTTTATTTTTTTCATCAAAGACTGTTAAATTGAGGTGAAGATTTGATGAAAGTTTAAACAATGTTATCATTTCATTTTCGCTAAGATCCTCCATTTCTTCCATTTGTTGATTTGATAATAAAATATTAAAGTGGACGCTGTTTTCTGTATTGGCTTCTTGGAATCCTCTAATTACATCCTTTTCTATTAAATCGTTGAGTACATCTTTATAGTCAGAGGTCCATTTACCAATTGGTAGTTCAGAGATAACTAATCCTTTGCCATCAAATTTAATGACACCGTTTGTTTTGTATGATTTAAGATTTGGTTGGATAGTACCCTTGAATCCACGATACCATGGAATGATCTTTTTTAATGGGGGCACATTATCGAGACGGCAAATAATTTGTTCGATTAAATCGATTGGAGAAAACAATGGAATTGTAGTGGCCATGCCAACACCAATACCTTCACTACCATTAACTAAAACCATTGGGATAATTGGTACATAGTAATCTGGCTGAATAGATTCACCCTCTTCTTCAAGATAGTTTAAGAGAGCATCATCCATTTCATTAAAGAGATGACGTGAAATTGGTTCGAGTTTAGTGAAAATATATCTTGCAGATGCTGAATCATCACCACCTTGTAAACGAGTACCGAATTGACCAGAGGGTGTTAATAATGGTATATTATTTGAACCAACAAAATTATGTGCCATTTTAATAATTGTTGAATTTAATGATTGTTCACCGTGATGATAAGATGTTTGCTCAGCTACATAACCAGAGAGTTGCGATACTTTAATTTCAGAAGTTAAACGACGCTTGAATGAAGCAAATAAAATTTTACGTTGACCTGGTTTTAAGCCATCAATTAAAGATGGAATGCTTCTAATATTAGCAGCCCAACTGAAATGGATTAACTCCTTGTTAATAAAGTCTGGGAATGTCATTTCTTTGATTGTATGATCAATGCCTTGGGACATATCAGATTCTTTAATCCAGGTTTGTCTAAGTGAGCTTGAGTCTTTAGAAAATGCTAATGAAATATATTTATCTGTATCTTTATCCCATTTGAATTTAATCACATGTTTACCCAAATCGCTGAAATACTCTTTTGCCTCTGCTGATGTTGAAGTACCCAAACCCTTGTAGTATTTAATAGTGTATTGCTTAATTTGATCCTTTGAAAGTCCCTCTCTCCATTTTTGATAATCTTTAATTGTGTAGAATGATCTCTTTTGGGTTGAGCTTTTTGAAACTTTAATAATTGGAGTAATAAATTCTTCGATGAAGCCAATCTTTAAAAGATTTGGCCAGAAATGGTGGATAAAGTTAATTACCAAACCTTTAATATGTGAACCATCGTGGTCTTGATCAGCCATAATCATAATTTTACCATAACGCAATTCTTTTAGTTCCTCTTCGGTTTCATAGGTTTTTTTGTGTGATAGGCCGAGGATATTGGTAAGGTTATTAATCTCTTCATTATTTAATAGTTGCTTAGGTTTGACATCACATACATTTAAAAGTTTACCACGTAATGGGAAAACACCATATGTATTACGACCAATTACACTAAGACCAGCCAATGCTAATGATTTAGCAGAGTCACCTTCGGTTACAATTAAAGTACATTGATTGCTTTTTTGGCCACCTGCCCAATTTGCATCTTCTAATTTTTGAATTGATTTAATTAATGCGGTTTTAGATTGACGAGTTGATGATTGGTGAACCAAATCTGCTTTTTGTTTCATTAATACCCAACCAGCGACCCTTTCGATAATTTTACTATTCTTTACAAATGCTGCTAATATTGACTCTGGTATCTCTGGGTTTGAGCCAAATAGTTGAGATTTTGTGGTTAGGGTTTCTTTACTTTGACTATCAAAACTTGGGTTGTCGATCAAACAGTTTACAAATAAGGCCAAGTGATGTTTAATGTTGATGGGTCTAACCTCTAAATCATTGTGTTTCTTTTTCATTTTATCGGCAATATAACGAACGATTTGTTCAGCAATATAGTTTACATGGGTACCACCTTTAATTGTATTTATACTATTTACAAAACTAACTTGAGTGAATTGACCAGTTTCACTAAGACCAACACCAATTTTCCAACGTTCATCAATATCGCCAAATATAAATGATTCTTCTTTATAAAGCTCTTCGGAATCTTCTTTCTTTGCACTACCACTTAGATGATGTTCGTATAATTTAACATATTTTTCAAAGTCGTAATTAAGTTGTACCCCATTTAAATAGACATTAACCTCTGGATTACAGCCTGCTATATCATACAATCTTTTTTCCATTAATTGTAAAATATCGTCATCCCATAACGAATTGGTTTTAAATTTTTCTAAATCTGGTGTGAATGTAATTTTGGTATAATCTTGCTCACCTTCTTTAATATTTGTTATTATTGGGTCTTCTCTATTACTCATATTATTTGACCATTTTTGATAATATTTTTTTCCTGAGCTAAAATTAAAAAAAAAAAAAAATTAATAAATTTGCAATTATGTAATGATTTATTTATTTTTTTGTTTATATACCTTTTATCAATAGTTTCGACTACAAATTCCTTTGAAAAAATATTGGTAAGTTTTGCACCAAAACCATTACGACCACCAACAACTTTTAATTCGTTATCATTAAAATTTGAGCCACTCATTAAGTTGCCCATTACCATTTCAACAACATAACAGTTCTCGGTGGAATGCATTACAATGGGTATACCTTTTCCATCGTTCATAATTGATATTGTACCTTTATTTGGGTTGATCTCTACTTTAATAAAAGACATTGTCGAATCTCTTTTCTTGTTATCTGCTGCATTTACTAAGATTTCGTCATATATTTTCAAAAGACCTGGAACATATGTTGCTTTGATTGGTTGGATAAATGTTTTGTTTTTTGACGATTTATCACTTGATTGATTATCTGTTTCAGAGACTTGAGCATTCTTTTTTTCGACAGTTTTAGTTTTCTTATTAAACATTGAGTTTGATAATACCCACATATCATCTTCGATTTTTTCAATTGTGCCAATATATGAATCTGGTCTTAATAAAACATGTTCAGTTGGTGTTTTCTTTTGGTAAATCTCTTCGATCTTTCTTTCTCTTTTTGATGGAGCTTTGGTTGCTGTTGAGTAATTTAATTTTTGAAAAACCAAACCAGTGCTATTGATGCTACTATTGTTGGTGCTTATGCTGCGACCAAAGTTATTTAATCCATTATTAAAACTATTTAATCTTTCATTGTTGTAATTATTCGAATTATTGCTATTACAAGCGATGATTGTTTGAGAATTTAGTCTGAAATTATTTTTGTTATTTAAAAATACATTGGTAATGGATTTGCTGAGGATATTAGTTTTATTATTATAATTATTATTTAATAATCTTGACATATTAATATTAAATATAAAAATAAATAATAAAAAATTATTTGAATCGCGTTATTTTGAAGAAATTTTTTTTTTTTTTTTTTTTTTTTTTTTAATTAATTTTTTTTATTTTTATTTTTATTTTATTTTTTATAATTACTTTTTTTTTTTTTTTTTCCTAAAACCTCATCATTACCTATTTTTTATAATAAATAAACAAATACCAATAAATGTCAGTAACAAAAGTCGTAAGTCCAGCTAATTCAGGAGGTGTGTTAATCACCTTATTTATTTTTATATATTCATAGGTTTCAAAAATGACACCCCTCTGACCATTTATTTTTCAAATATTATAATCAATAGACTTTTATAGATTTCAAAATTTTCATAAAGTTGTAGTCTTTTTTGGATTTAACTATACCAAATATAGTCCAGAAAACCATTTTTTAAAATCGATCGCTTTATCAAAAAATAAAAATAGTGCAGAAATAATTGAAAAATATTGCAATGAATTAAATATCAAACCAGAGGAATTAAGACAGTTACAAACAGATGTCAACATCTTACATAAAACTATTGGCAATCAAAAATCTATTATTTTTTCAAAAGTCGATATCACAGATAAAAGCAAATATCATCCATTAAAAGATATTTTAGAAAGCAATGAAAAATACAGAAAAGATAAAATCGAAAAAATTCTTAAATTTGTGAAAGAGAAAAATATCAACATTACAATCCCAGACTATGTCAAAGAAAGAATCTTTATTAATGTTGATCACGACTATTCTCTTGATATCAAATCCAAAACAAAAGAGGAATTCAAAAACGAAAAAGGAGATAAAGAAGAGAACAAACCCCAAAATGAAGAAAAATACTAAAATTAAATAATAAACAATAAACAATATAAATAAATAATAAATTGTAAATAATAATGGTTTATTTATTAATTTATTTATTTATTATTAACGAAACGAAAACAATATATAATTAAATTAAATATAAATATAAATATAAATATAAATATAAATATAAATATAAATAAAAAATATAATCATAATTTACTATAAATAAATTTTTTTAACCACACTCTATTTTTATTTTTTTTATTTTTTAAGTATGATCACACTTTCTTCCATTTTTGTATAATGATATATGTTTTTAAAATTAAAAAAAAAAAAATATTTTTTCAAAAAAAAAAATAAAAAAAAAAATCACACATTTGGTGTGGTCTTACATATATTTATTTTTTTCATCCTAACACCCCTCATTATTTTCATATAATTTTTTTTTTTTCTTTTTTAATTATATTTTTTTTTTATTTTTTTTTTTAAAATATAAATACTTTAGAATTTTTTTTTTTTATTAATAAAAATAATATCATTCTTCCTTATAGCTATTATTTACATATTATCTCTTACATATTAAAAATAATATTTTTTTATTTTTTTTTAATATATTTATTTTTTTTTAAATTAAATTTAATTTTTTAATTTAAAATAAATTTATTTTTTTTATTTTTTTTTTAAAATTTTTTTATTATTATTTTAAATCTGTGTATACAATTTAATAATTTAGATTGTGTATTTGTTTTTTTATATATATATATATATAGTAATTATGTCTTCAGAACAGCAACAAAAAGCCCAAGAACAACCATTAGATGGTGTTTGGTATGATAAGTACTCAAGTCTCTCAAGAATCTATAATTATGAATTTGTACATAATTCTATTAACTATGGTAAAAGTTGGTATGACTACATTAAAGATTCAAACTCTTTAGTAAAAGTATGTATTTAATTTAGCTAAAGCAATAAAATAACAACTAATATTAATAATGTTTTATTTAGTCCACTCTTACTATGGGTGAAAATAGTGCAATGTATGTTGGTGCTCCAATTATCAATACTTTAGAAAAGTATGATAACTATGTTAAAAAGATCGATGATTTCGGAAACTCTGGTTTAGATATGGTAAATTAAAATTATAATTTTTTTTTAATAATATTATTTAAACTAATAATTTTTATTAAACTAGGCTGAAAAAAAAATTCAAGATATTAAAGAAACTGGTGATAATATTATTAAGAAGTTTGATTCATCATGTGACGCCATAATCTCCACTACTGCTAACTATGTAAATATTTTTTTTTTTTAAAAATAAACACAAAACAGTAATAATATTAATTATTTATATTAATTTTTTAAATAGACTCCAAATAAGGTTAATGATTTAGCTCTAACTACATCAAATCTAATTGAAAAACTTATTGATTCAATTTTACCACCACCAGAAAGTGAAGATTTATCTAAATTAACCGATGAGGATAAATTTGAACTTGAAAAAAGAATGAAATTCTTATTAAAACTTAGAAAGAGATTAAATGCAACATCAATCACTCACATTCCATCAAATTCATATAAAACAATTACTGGGGCTGGTAAGGAATTATTAAAAAGCAACCTTTTGTTTTAATTTCTATATTAATAAAAAATTTTATTATATAATTAGGAACAAAATCTCTTCATTTATCCATTGATAAACTTAATGATATAGTAGTTAAAATTCAAAACCTAACTGTCCCGGGTGAATTGACTAGAGCAGCTATTGATAATATCTATGCCACATTGGATGCATGTGTTGCTCAAGTTGTTGGTATTGCTGTATATCTTAAAAAGATTGACCTTAGTGAAACTCTTATTTCATTAGGAGAATTATCAAAAACCATTAAAGAATCTAAAATTAATATTTTAAATATCGAAGATGGAAATGAAAGAGTTAATGTAAGTAAAGAAAACAACTATACTAGTATAAATAGAAAATAATATTAATTTTTTTTTTTAGAAACTAAAAGAGGATATTAGCCAATTTTTAAAGAAAGCTGCTGACACTTTAAGCAATTTAAATGAAACTGGTAAAGATAAATTAGAAACTTTGAAAAATAAGGACTATGTATACTTTAATATGGCTGTTGGTTTACTTGAAGATACCGTTCAATCATTCGTCAATGCATTAAATTCAATTTCAAATAAATTGAAAACTTCACCAACTTCACCAAATGTCACCAATGAAGAAAATCAAAACCAAAATCAAAATCAAAATGAAAGTGAATCATCATCAAGTAAAACCACAACACATAAAAAGAGAGGTAAAAAACATCAACAAAATCAAGAAAATGAAGTTAACCCAACCAATTAAAATAATATGTTTATTTTATTAATGCCTGGTGGAGAAAAAAAGAAAAAAAAAAAAAGAAAAAAAAAAGAAAAAAAAAAAAAAAGTGTTTAAATCAATCATTATAATTTTTAAATAAAATGTTAGTTTTTTTTAATGTATATTAAAGAAATATATGTTGTAATTATAATCAAAATTATCTTTTTTATTCTCTTTGTTTTTTTTTTTTTTTATTTTTTTTTTTTGGGATTTAGATCAGCCATTATAATTTTAAATAAAGTCTTCATTTTTTAAGGGATATTTAGAAATATATTTTAATCATAATCAAAATTATCTTTTTTATTTTCTGTTGTTTTTTTTTTATTTTTTTTTTGTTCAATTCACATCCAAAAAAAACTTGTAAAAAAGTTAAAAAAAAATAAAATTAAAAACAATATTTTATAATTTTTTTATTTTTTTTTTTTGTAATTTTTTTTTGTAATTTTTTTTGTTTTTTAAATTAAAAATTTTATTTGACTAATATGATTAAAAATATTATTCAATACAATAAAACTTTAATAACAAATATTTCAAAAAATAATAACAAATATTTAATAAGAAACAAAATGACAGAATCAAATGTTGACAATAAGGGTTTGATTGTTGGTCTTTATGAAAATGAAGAATTAACTCCATTAGGACAACAATTAAATGAAAAAACCAATGGCCATTTATTAAAGAGTGTCAAATTATCAGATACCAAAGGTAAAGTTGGTGATAGCTTAGTATTATACGATGTTACCCCAGAAGTCCCAAGAGTTGCTATTGTTGGTCTCGGTAAAAAAGAACAAACTCCATCAGTTTATGAAAAGAATGAAAATACAAGAAGAGCTGTTGGAAGTGGTGTTAAAGCTTTAAAATCAAAGAATGCTTCAAATTTCACTATCGATTCATCAATTGGTTGTTCCAAACACACTGCCGAAGGTGCTTATTTAAGTAACTTCAAATTTGATTACAAGACCTCTGGTAAACCAAATACTACCAATGAAAGCATTGAAGTCACCATTTCAAATGAATCCACCGAATCAAAGAATGCTTTCAACGAAGGTAAAATCTTTGCCGAATCACAAAATTTCGCTAGAACTCTTATGGAAATGCCAGCTAATTTATTAACTCCAACTATTTTTGTCGAAACTGTTAAAAAACAATTCAAACACCTCATTGATAGTGGTAAAGTTGAAATGATTGTTCGTGATGAACAATGGGCTAAAGATCAAAAAATGGGTATGTTTTTAGGTGTTGCTCAAGGTTCAGAAGAACCACTCAAATTCTTAGAACTTCACTATAAAGGTGCTTCTGCTGATGGTAAGGATTCAATTGTTTATGTTGGTAAAGGTATCACCTTTGACAGTGGTGGTATTTCAATTAAACCATCTGCTGGTATGGGTTTAATGAAAGGTGATATGGGCGGTGCCGCTTCCGCTGTCTCATCAATGTTTGGTGTTGCTTCATTAGGTTTAAAGGTTAATCTCATCACTCTTACTCCATTATGCGAAAACATGCCATCAGGTAAAGCTACTAAACCAGGTGATGTTCATATTGCTATGAATGGTAAAACTGTTGAAATCGATAACACTGATGCTGAAGGTCGTTTAATTCTTGGTGACGCTCTTCACTATGCCCATACTTTCAAACCATCTACAATCCTCGATATGGCTACTCTTACTGGTGCTATTGATGTTGCTCTTGGTCAACACTATGCTGGTGTTTTTGCAGGCACTGATGGTCTTTGGGATGAATTAAACGAATGTGGTAATGTCAGTGGTGACCGTATGTGGAGAATGCCATTATTACCAGAATACAGAAAACAACTCGACTCTAAGATTGCCGATATTGTCAACTCTGCTGGTCGTTCAGGTGGTGCTTGTTCAGCTGCTATGTTCTTAAAAGATTTTGTTACTATTGATCGTTGGGCTCATTTAGATATTGCTGGTGTTATGAGCTCTTCAGAAGATGGCCCATATATTAAAAAAGGTATGACTGGTAAACCAGTTCGTGCTTTAATAGAATTTGCTAAAAAACATCAACAACAATAAGAAATATAGTTTTTAAATAATTCTTTTTTTTTTCCTCCTTTACTTAAATAAATAAAATAGTTTTATTAAATTTGTATTTAATTAATTTTAATATAAAAAAAAAATTATTTCATTTTATTTTATATTTTTTTATTTTTTACATAGGCAATTAGTTTTGGAATTTGTGATTCTTCAAACACTCTTAATAAATTTTGGGTAAAACTTGGTAACCAATATGGTTCTAAGTCATTTCTTGTTTCTAGTAAATCTTGCACAAGTATTTCAATAATATTAGGTGAATGGATAGAAGCTAGAAATGTAAAAACATAATGAATTTGATCTGATAGTTGATGTTTCGATGGATTAATACTTTCTAGTGTTAAGTTGTTCAATTTTAAAAATATTTCTGAAAATGTTGAGTTTTTAATGTATTGCATTGGAAAATTAATTTCATTTAGAACATCGTGATTTTCTAACATTAGATAGCTTGAATTTCTATAAATATTTGAGAGAGTTTCATGATAGTAATCCATTCTTAAAAAATATTCCGAAAATTTTTCACTTTTAATTTTTAAATAAAGAAAGGTATGATAAGAGTCTTTGTATATTGGAACAGAATAGTGATGGAACAGTTCATCTAGTTTTTGAATTTTGTTAAAAGTAATATCTTTACATTGTAGCGATGATGAATATAGTCGATTAAATTGGATATTAAATAGATTTTGTTGACCACTGGTTAGCTTGTTTAAAAGATATTCAATTACTTGATAATGTGTTGAAAAAAAATCATCTTTATCTAAATCGAATTGGTAATCTGAAAAAATTTGATTTTCTTTAATAACATATCCGTTCTCTAAAATTAATTTAACCATACAAATGTCGATAGTGCTTTTTAAAATTTCATTAGAAGCTGCTGGAAAATAATTGGGCATTATTTTGAATGATTTGTACTCTTTGTTCATTGATTCTTCTTTTAAAAGTTTTTGATCTTTTATATATGAATAAAGAATTAAAATAAAGTTCTTGAATTTTTTGTTTGATAAGTTGCTATAACCATGTTCTGATATGTATTGTAACCAAAGTTTTATTTTTTCTTCTTTAATAGATTTTAAACCTTCAATTTTATTTGTATCATTTTCTTTTCCTTTTACTTGTGCCTTATCAAATAATCTATAGTGGTTTATAATAGTTTGATTTTTGATTTTGATAGCTTTTAAATATTTATAGAAATAATATGATGGATCATAAACTGCCTTTTCGCAATAATATTTGATATATTTTAATTTTGAAAATGTAAATTTTGGTTTTGTAATTAAAGATTGTATGTTGTTGTAATTTTCAATAATAAAATCGATTTTTTCAATAGAGTCCATTGAAATAGTTTCTTTTTTGTTGATTGTTATTTGATTAGCAAGTAAAAATTCATTTATATACCATTTAAAAGTTTCAAATTTCGAATTTAAAAAATGAAATGAGGTGGAATTTGAATAATCTTTGGCCTGAATTAAATTGCATTTTAAAATTTCATTTAAAGTCGTAACATCAGAGTTTGTTAAAATTAATTTAATAATTTTTTTTGGAAACACAACTTGTGGTCCTCTTTCTTTTGTTTGTTGGTCATATTGCTTTAAAAATGGCAAAACTCGGGCTTGATTAAAAAACTTTGTAAAACTATTTGATTTAATTTCTCTGTCGATATCTATAGAGTTCTTTAAAATTGAGAATAGTTTGATTAAAGCATTTTCATTTAATGTTTCAAAAATAAATGTAGATACCTTTAATAGAAGCTTTTCATTTTCTAAATCGAAACCAAAGTTTTCTATATAAAAAGTAAATATGGATCTACTAAAATAGTTTGGTAATATGAAATTTGGGGTTTCATCTTGTTCCAAAATACTTTTAATAAATATTTCTAATAAATGTTTGATCTTTTCATTTTCATTTATTTTTTTGCTGTTTTTAATATTGATAATAGTTGGTAAAATATCACTCTCGAAATTATTGGTGTAGTTTTTTCTAAGTAGTTTGAAATATAATATGATGTAAAACTCTAATAATTTGCTTGTGACAGTTAAATTCTCAAAGGTGAAAGAAAAACCATTAGCTTCTTTTATGTTCTTTAAGGATACTAGGTTGTAGTCTAAAAGGATTTTTTTTGCTTTGTTAGAATGTATTCGAATAAACTCTTTGAAACCAATTGAATATTTTGGATGATCTTTATAGGAGTTGTTTTTATAATAGGTATCTAGTGAAACGAAAAGTTTTTCGTTATAAAGACTTTTAATAAACTTTTCACTTGATTTAACTGATAACATTGTCATTTGTTTTTTAAAATCTGGATCTATTTGGTCATGTTTTATGTGGTCGATTAAAAACTGAAACGAGTTGATGTTATTGCTTTTAATTGAAAATAATAATAATTCTATATCTATTGAAATTAGGTCATTGCAAAGTAAATATTCTAAAGTTTCTCTATTAAATATATTTTGGACTAAAAGTCTGTTTATTTCCGAATTGTTTATAATCTGGTTTTGTTTGATTTTCTCTAATGTTAGTTTTAAAAGTTCTTTGTCTTTATTTGAGGCAATAAATTTTTGAATGCTGGTGCAGTCCATTATAATCGATTCCTTTGCCAATAGCTTCATTCTCAATATTTCCCATAAACCTTTTTCTGTAATGAAGAATAGATCATTGATTCGTTTAAACTTTAATCTATGGCCAAAGTAAAAATTATAATTATTTTCTATTTCTGTTTCATATATAATATTAAATATTTTATTTATTAAATATTTATTTCTAAATACTTTAAAAAAGTTATTTTCATATTCTGTATCCATTATTATTTGTTTTATTGGGTGATTAAAAATATGTTTTAAAAAAATATCCAAATAAAACGGTTTTTTTAAAAATTTTTAATTAAAAAATTTTTTATTTTTGGTGAAAGAAAAAAGAAAAAAAATGGAAATATTAAAATATTTATAAAAATAAGAAATAAAATTTTTTTAAAAACTATTGAGTTATACAATTTAATTTATTTTTTTATTAAATTTATTAAATAAGTTTCTATCATCAATTATATTAATGTATTGATTATTTTTTGGGAAACTGTGTACTTTTAATTTTTTGCCTTTTTTACAATAATTTAATTCGTTGTAAAATTTAAATTTGTGATAATAACTATTGATTATTTTTTCATTTTTTTCAATGAAAGGATTATTTTCGCTTGATACATAAATGGTAAATGAATTATTTTTATCAAATATATTTTTGTCTAGCTTTGGTGAACCTCTAATGAATAAAGTTGATAAATTATTTGGTAAAAAGTTTTGAGTTATTTCTTTACTGAATGCTGATCCAAGTAATAGTAGCTTTATTGAATCTGGTAATGATTTATTGTATACAGGATGATCGTTATAGTTGCACAGCGATAGTGAAGTTATACTAGATGGAATTTCGATGCATTTGATATTGGGTTCTAAAGATTCCTTTTCTTTATTTAAATATTTGAGAGAGCTGCTCGATTTAAAACAATTTCTATATCCATAACCAAAAACCATTGTTTTAATATTTGATAGTTCATCTGGTGGTAAAATTAAACTTTCACAAAAGTCCCTGCCAAGTTCAATAGTCTCTAAAAATAGTTTTTTTGATAGATCTGTTGGTTTGTTATATTTTTTTCCAAATATTATTTTTTTGATTGAGTCTGGGATGTTGTTTTGTTGAATTGCTTTATTGAAATCTCGATGGAATTTTAATATTTTAACTGTTTCTGGTAAATAATGAAGATAATCCTCTTTGCATGCGACATATTTAACTAGAGATTTTGGAAATGATTCTTTACTTTCAAATTGATATATTGGTGATAGTTGCAAATAAGTAAGGGTATTTGGTAAATCGCCACTTTTAATTGTAATCGGTTCTTTTTGTTCCATTAAAGTACATTTCATTTTAAGTTTGGTTAATGATGTTGGTAATCGGGTTAATTGCTTTGAATAAAGGAAATCAATTTTCAATATTTCTAATGAGTCCGGTAAGTTGCCGCTAATTTCTTTTTGAAAAGAATTCATAAACTTTAATTTTTTTAAATTTGGTGGGAAACAATTTAGTTGGATATCTTGGTTAAAAGTTGGATTCATTCTAAGCTTTGTGGCTGATGGTATAGAAAATGGTACAATTGGTGAGTCATATGAAACTTCTAAGGTCTTTGAAAACTTTAGTATTTGAAGTGCTTTTGGTAATACCCCAACTTGAATTTGTTTAGTATAGGACATTCCAAATTTGAGAGTTTTTAAATTATGGGGTAAAGTATTGGGTAAAAGCTCTTGATTAAAAGATGACATTTTGGGAAATTTTAAAACCTCTAATGATTGCGGTAGGTAGCCCTCGATAATTTGATGGTTGAAGCTAGGACTTGGTTTAAAGAATTTTAAATTCGATGGAAGTTTTTGAAGAGGGGACTCATCTACACATAAAAAACCTAGTTCTAAATGAGTTACTGATTCTGGTATTTCACATTGACTTATCTGTGTATTATAGCCAACATTTAGTACTAATTTTGAAATTGTATTTAAACATGGATGAAAAAACTCTTTACTTGGACTACTATAAAAATGATGGTTTAATTCAAATGATTCTAAACTACTTGGCACTTGTAAATAATCTTCACCTTGAACACCATTGTTTAAATTAAACTGAAATTTTTTATCGAACTTTATTGATTTGACATAGTTTGATATTTTGGTAAATTTTGGTAGTCTATATTCTCCACAATTTTCAAATTCCAATGGTTTATATATTTGACTAAGGCCATTAATGAATTCGACTGATTCGATATTGCTTGGTAAATTATTTAAACAAGAATATAAATTTTGGATTTCTTGATGTTTATCCGAATATTTGCTATCTATTTGTATTTTTATTGATTTTAAATAGTGTTTATACTGATAATTTTTTAGTTTTTTTTTAAAATTATTTAAATCTATTACTCTGGGGTGTATATGGTTATTAATTATAATTAAATGTTGTATGATTTTTTTTTTAATAAAAATATTTCTCCAAACAAGAAAAAATAAAATAGAGTTATCTTTATCCTCCATTTTTAATAAAACTGAAATTAAAAAAATTTTTTAAAAAAAAAAAAAAAAAATCAAAAAAAATCAAAAAAAAAAAAAAAAATATTTAAAAAATTAAAACAAATATAAATGATTTAATTTTGGTGTTATAATTGGACATAGATAGTCTTCTGGTTTCTCTCTCTTTAAACAAAAATCTATTTTTATTTTAAAAAAGCTTACTTAATAATATAATAAATATTATTTGTGTGAGCGACGGTGTTTATTTATATTAAAATATAAGAAGAAGAAGTTGTTGGGGTAAGGTTGAAACAACCTATCTGGTTTAAGAAGTTTTTTTTTTCTTAGATTTTTGTTCAATAACAGGTGATTTCGGACTGCCTGATTGGTACGGAGTGTTTTTGGTGTGGATATTTTATTGCAGACTTAAGTCTTATAATACGATAGTATGGTGATTGGAGTAGCTTTGATTTGATTGAGTTGTTTTTTCTTTCAATGAGGTGGAATATTTTTTTTTTTTTTTTTTTTAAAAGTGAAGATAATTAAAAGCAAATGCTTTAAATTAATCAGTAAAATTTTATTTAATGTTTTTTTTATAAAGTTTTTAAAGAAAATATTCTAAACTGTTGATATTTGGTAAAGTTAAGTCCATTTTGAGGTTAGATTCTTATAATCGAGTTCTTTTATTGTATTTTCTTAATCGTCATATAATTCTTTACATAACCAAATCCAAACTTGATGAAATACCAGGGCTATGGCATTTCTATAAGCGAAACATCCATTTAAGTCGAAATCTATTGCTTTATAGTTCCATTGGAAGTGTGATTTGTGAAATCTGGTGTTGTTGTAATCCATATTTATTTCTCCATCGGATTTGCGACCTTCTGGGATTTTGTATGAGTGGAAAAAGGAGGTATTGTGTTTATTTGTTTTGGTACATGCTCCCAGACGAATGAAGTTTTTATCTTCCGGGAGAATTAAAAAAATTTTAATAAAAGTTTCGCCCAAAGGGGGGCTCGAACCCCCGACCACAAGGTTAAAAGCCTTGCGCTCTACCGACTGAGCTATCTGGGCATTTTGTTGAAATCATGTAATATAACTGTTGTTATATTTAAGAACTCTAATATAATGAATTGATTACTAAACAAAATATATTATAAACTAAATGTAATTAATTATAATAATAATAAAACACAAAATAAAGATAAAATAAAATATAATAAAACCAAAATAAATATATAAAAATATTTAAAAAATTATATTTTAAAAAATAACAAATCTTTATTAAAACTAAAAACTACTAATTATTATTATTTGTAAACTTTATAACTTAACTCTTTTTCTTTTATTTTCTGCTTTAAAATTGATTTTTGAATTTTAATTTATATTGAAAAATATTATTTTTAAAAAAATAAAATTAATTAAAAAAAATAATAAATTTAAAAATGTGTCAAAATATGATGATAAATATTAAATGATATATGTGTGATTTTTTCCAATTAATGTGATATATGTTTATGCTTATTATAATAAATTTAAATTGATTTTAAAATTGTTGTTATATCACAATCAGTTAATTACTTACCTTTAGAACGATCATAAAATTCCAAAAAAAGTTTGTGAAATGAATAATTTACACAAATATAAATTAATTAACTAATTTTAAATATTTACCTTGTAAGCTTCCTCTTTTAAAGACTACTGGTGTAATGAAAGATTTAATATAATGAATAAAGTGATAAATAATAAAAAATTATTAAAAAATAATTTTGATTTTTAAAAAAAAAAAAAAAATTAAATTTTTTAAAATAATTTTAAATTGATTGTAAATTAAATATTTATAATTAAATGGGTGAAAAAATATGTTACTAATAGACTAGTATATATTGAGTGAAAGGAATGGGTGAATCAAACAAATAGGACTTAATAATATTCATAAAAAATAATGAATAATAAAATTAACAAATAAAATAATAAAAATTATTAAATAAATAGGACTATAATTCAAAACAAAAATAATTTAATAAAGGTGAAGTTGAATAATGGAATAGCTTCAAAAATAAATAAACAAAATATTAAAAAAATTAACAATGAATAATAAAATTAACAAATAAAATAATTATAATTAATTTTTTTATATCTTTAATTTAAAAATTTATTTTATTTTTAAATATATTATTAAAATATATATATATTATTCAATTAATTAGTTAGATTATCTTTTTTTTTCAAATCTTTATTATACAATGTAAAAGTTATCAATGTATTCTGGATATCAATCGAGAGAGAATTTAATAAAATTTTTAAATCAAATAAATAGATTTAATTAATTTATCAATCTTTCTATTGAATGATTAGTTATATATTAAAATAATATAAAACTCATACAATTATAAACAATTGTTTTTTTATTTAATTTTTTTTTTTTTTATTTTTTAATTGTTTTAAAAATTTTTTATTTTTTTTCAATTTTAAAAAATAGCTTATTAAAATTTTTTTTTTTTTTTTCATTAAAAATTATAGTTTCTTACCACATACATATAGTTTTTAATCCATCAGCTTCATTTTTTTACAATCAATTATATTTAATAACAGTCATTATTTTTTTTTCACTTGTACATATTCCTTTTTTTTTTTTTTTTGGAAAAAATTTAAATATATTTATATTTTTGTTTTGAAAATATTTTTTGGAAATAATTTAAATATATTTATATTTTTTGTTTTGTATATATTTTTTTTATTTGTAAATAATATATTTTTTATATCTTTGTAATTAATAATTTTTTTGTAAATAATCATATATATTATATTTTTGTTTTGTATATATTTGTTCATTTTCATTACACCATTTTTTTCTTATTTATTTATTAATAATAGTTGGTTTTTGTAAAAAAAAAAATGGATATTTTTTCATTTGAATTTATATTGTATTCATCATTATTTGTTGGAATCATCGGTTTTTGTTTAAGTCAATTCATAAACATCGACGATGAAACAAGTTGGGAGTCAGACGACTACCAAGTCACCGAAGACGAAAACTATGCTAATCAGGTGGTCCAACAGAAAGAACAACACCAACAACACCAACAACACCAACACCAACAAAATCAGCAACAACACCAACCACAACATCAACGACACCAACAACGACACCACTTTGACCTTTTAAGCACACCCCCTCCAAAGATAAGGACCAACTTGAAATAATTTATAAACCAAATCGTCAGTGAAGAACTATCACAAAATAAAAATTCGGTATCACCACCCGCTCTTTCCATATATAGACCAGGAGATCCAATTGATACAGATGAAGAATTCTTGGGCCATGTAGAAAAAAATAAGAAACTATTTGAATTTCCAGAAAAAAAAGAATCCACCGAAAATGATATATACTACGTTGAGAAAATTCTTTCAAAACGTATACGTGGTGGTATTAAAGAATATCTTATCAAATGGGAGGGATATGATATTAAAGAGGCAACCTGGGAGGCCGAAAGTGATTGTTTTTGTACAGATTTGATTGAAGAATTTGAAGAAAGCCAAGAATAAAAAAAATAAATAATACAATTGAATAAATTATAGAATACAGTTTCATAAATGTTAAATAAAGAACTCAAACCAATTAATGTACCGTGCAAGTAAAATACCACCACTTAGATTAACTTGTAAAGAAGATCCAATCATAGTTAAACCAATAGTATATAATTATAACTAAATTAATTATTTATGAATTAATAAAATGGCCATTTATTAAATCAATATAAATAATAATTTAAAGTTTTGAAAATGATTATTCAATAGTTACCCCGATTTTAGTCAATATCAACAAGTTACATCCATTTTAAATTTTTAAAATAATATTTATTTTTTAAAAATCAAATAATTTTATAAAAATTCTTTTTTTATTTTTTCAATGCACAACAAACACACATAAAAAGTCACAATGTCGCAGAAACTCAAATTCTTTCAATCTCAGGTAAATCAGCAAAATTCAAGTTCGTTTAAAAATTCAAAAAGTGCAATATTTGCCTTGGCCCAAGCAATAGTGATAGAACCCAAATAGTTAAGATAAGGGTAATGAAAACCTCAACTTTCGTAAATATTGTTCAAGTTTGTGAAACATCTCCATGGTTTTAGTTTATCAAATATATTTAAAATATGACCCTAAAAGAATTAAGCATCTGATAGAGGTTCAAGTTTCATAATTGAAGTTGTCATTTCAAAAAACAACTGGATTAACTACTGCAAGTTCAAATACAAAAGTAACAGGTCAAAGTGTTGGTGGATTAACTTCAACTGGTGTATCGATTGGTTTTATTTCGGGTGTAAATTCCGTTGCAGGGCTAATTTTAAATCTTTCTTGTTAAGTTTCAACATTTTATTTATTTCAAATCATTTATCATACATTTGGGGGTATAGCTTATTCTTTTCAATTGTGTTTTTTTCAAATCATTTATGAAACATTGGGGTTCTTTTTCAGAATGAACACATTTTAAAGTCACAATTCAAACATTGGGGTTCTGTTTATTCAATGTAAGCATTAATATTTTATTTTTATTTTTAAATTTATTAATATTAATCATTAAAAATCATCCTTTTAGCTTTTATTTATTAAATAATCACATTTAATAGGATTTTTCAGTATTATAACCCAATTTTAATCTACACATTACCACATTTTTAATTTTTTAGTATCATTTAATAATCAAAAAAACTATAATACCTAAAAGCAATCAGTAGCCAATGAAGCTCAAAAGTATGCTCAAAGTAGAGGACCATCATTGTTTGGGTTTGCCAATTTTCACTTAGCCAACAAAAAACTATTATTTCCGCCCTAAATCTCAAGTACATCATCTCATAGACTTCAATTGGCCTTTCACAAATCATAATAGAAGCATCAGTATTGGGTTCTTTAAATTTTACCACTTAAAGCGATTTTTGTTCTGGTATGGTTCCATTAAAAACTGAATACGAGATTACAACTCTAAATATTTTCGGTAATATGCGATCATTATTAAAAAGGGATTTTAGAAATTCAATTGTAATTCAAAATATAATTTGGTAAAAATATCGAATCAAAATCAAGTAGAAAGGGTTGTGCAAGATGTAGTAGGTTAGGACCAATAAATATATCATTTGGTAATATTGAAGGCATTCCATCAACTAAAGTATAAGACTACTTTTTCAAATTCCATCTTTAAATATGACAATTCCCAATGCTTCAGGTGTCAAGTATTTTAATTCTTTTTCATTATGAAAAGCTGATGGCCAAATTCTGTAGATATTTTTAATTGACCTCAATTACAATCAAATTCAAAATCAAACAAGTTTTCATCTTTAGATGTACTTTATAATTCAATTAATATTTGGTATACAGTTTTGATAATTGTCAGTACTTAGATTTTTGGTGAAATCTTTTTATTCACACATTCAATCAGAAATTGCAATTAAATTAGCAAAGTCAAATAAATTTAGACAAATGTGGCTCAATGACTTAGAATGTGCACTAAAGAAACCATGTAGAGACTAGCCCAACAGTTTGTTTTTATATCAATCTAATAAAAAACAGCAAATCATTCAAGTTTCAAAGCTTTATTATATATAACACTGTGAATCAGGAAGAACAGATATATTATCAGACTTAGAGTCATAAACAGTTTTTATACTTTATTATAAAAAAATTCTTATTAAAACAGATAATACCTATGTTGCAGAGTTACTTCTATTTGTTCTGTAGATGAACATCAAAATAATAGATTCAAATTAAAAATTCAAAAAAAAATTAATAAAGATTAATTTAATTTTTTTCAATGATTAACATTTAACAAAATTTATCTATGTATTTATTAACTACATAAATATATAAAATTATATTAAAATTATTTTATTTAAAAAAATTATTTGTAATGTTTTTTTTAAAAATTAGCTTATATAAAACTGGTGTGAAAATTAACTGATGATTTAAATCCAAAAGAAAATAAAAATTTAAAACCTGAATGAAATAAAGAAATCATATGAAAATAAGTTGGTGATATTTGGGTGTTACTGTTAGCACCTAACGAGGACCGCCTTTGGTTTAGCACTATATTGATTTTAACGATTAATTATTATAAAATGTTTTAATTTTATCTTTCTTAATAACTGAAGACTGATTATTGATTTACTGAGTAAATTCTATTATTATTTTTTTATATAGATGACCTTAATTTGATAATTAAATATATATAGTTGTAAGACCCCCAACGGATTGACCTATTGTATTCAATGATGTTACTCCAATTGAATTTGATGTTGTTACACCTGCTACTGATTGACTACCTCCAATTGTATTTGCTGTGGTTAATCCTGCTACAGAGTTTACACTCGAAATGAAAATACTCGATGCTCCATTTGTAGTTTATATGAATTCACCTACACTTTGTCAATCCAATTGAAGTTATTAAACCTGCTACTGATTATCCACCCACCGATTGTATTTGCAGTTGTTAAACCTGCACCGGAATTTGCACTCGAAATTAAACCAAATGTATTTGAAGTTGTTAATCCTGCTACTGATTGGCCACCTCCAATTGTATTTGAAGTTTTTAAACCAGTTATTAACTGACCTGTTTCAATTGAGCTTGCAGTAGTTAATCCAGTTGTTTTATTTGTCGTTATGTCAGCTATTGAATTTGAAGTAGTTAATCCACCAACTGATTGGCCTAGTGAATTTAATAATGTTAAACCTAAAGTATTTGCAGTTGTAAAACCACCTACACTTTGTCCAGTTATTAAACCTGCTACTGATTGTCCACCCACCGATTGTATTTACAGTTAATCCTGTTATTGATTGACCACAGTTGCAATTGAATCAACTGTAAATCCAGTTGTTGCTTGTTGTAATCCAAGCTATTGAGTTTGTAATAGTTAATCCGCCAATTGATTGACATGTGAATCTAATGATGTTAATCCAATTAAAGTTGTTACACCTGCTACTGATCGACCAGCGAAAGTTGAAGTTTTTATTACCCTTATCTTAACTATTTGGGTTCTATCACTGTTGTTGGGGCCAAGGCAAATATTGAACTTTTTGAATTTTTAAACGAAATTGCAATTGATTTGAATTTTGCTGATCTACCCGAGATTGAAAGAATTTGAGTTTCTGCGACTTTTTAACTTTTTATGATAGATATTGCTATTAATTTTGAGATTATTATTATTATTGAATGCAATAGTTCGTGGTTGGATTGGTATTTATTATTACTTGTGAATAGTATAGAATCTCTTTTAATAGGATCGCTGTGCATTTGGTAAACATTGGCTAAATCTTTATATAATTGATTAAAATCCTTTCATTCATGATATCGATGATAGCAGATCCTGTAAGGGTATTGAATGTTTTTAATTAATTAATTGGTTTTAATTTTTCTGTTTCTATTTTCTATATTTCTTTAACAATGCCTATTTCTATATAGTGTGTGGATTTGTTGTTGTTGTTATTGTTGTTGTTGTTGTTGTTGTTGTTGTTGTTGTTGTTGTTGTTGTTGTTGTTGTTGTTGTTATTGTTTTAAAATATATTAATTTACCTACTTGAAAGGTTTTACTGTTAAAGTTATTATTATTATTGATTAGATATGCTATAGTTTACATTATTAACATTCTTTATGTGTGTGTTTGTTGTGAATTGAAAAAAATAAAATAAAAAAATTGAAAAAATTAAAATTTTTTTTTATAAAATTATTTGATTTTTAAAAAATAAATATTATTTTAAAAATTTAAAATGGATGTAACGTGTTGATATTGACTAAAATTGGGGTAACTATTGAATAATCATAAAAAGATCATAATACTATACACAAATTGAACTATTTAATAATAGGAATGTTTTGTAATAATAGCAATCAACTATTGAACACCACCATAATATGCAGCAACAAAGAGAGCATCAGACAACACCAAAGACAGCATATAATGTAAATGGTATAAATAAAGCATTAAATCAGGTAATATCCCCTACTATGATATTTTTACAATTTAATTTTAATAGATTTTAATTTCTATGCCATTCAATAATAATAAACACAAAGTAATAGTTATAAGTCACTCAGTTATTGAAAATATATTAAAGTAATTATATCAAAATATAATGTTAATTAAAAACAAAAAAGTAATTCGATCAAAAAATTAAAAAAATAAATTATTTATATTTTAAAATTAAAATTCTATAACATTAAAAATATACAAATAAATAAAAAAATAATTTTATTTTGGAAATTATTTTTTTTTTTTATGAAATATTTTATTTTTCTTTATTATAATCAAATAAAATATTGTTTATTTAAATTAATTTTTAAAACTTTAAATTATTATTTATATTGATTTAATAAATGGCCATTTTATTAAATTCATAAATAATTAATTTAGTTATAATTATATACTATTAGTTTAACTATGATTGGATCTTCTTTACAAGTTAATCAAAGTGGTGGTTTTTTACTTGCACGGTACATTAATTGGTTTGAATTCTTTATTTAACATTTATGAAACTGTATTCTATAATTTATTCTATAATATATTCAATTGTCTTATTTCTTTTTATTTTTTTGATCCTTGGCTTTCTTCATACTCTTCTATCAAATCTGCACAATAACAATCGCTTTCGGCTTCCCAGGTTGCCTCTTTAACATCATATCCCTCCCATTTGATCAGATATTCTTTAATACCTCCACGTATACGCTTTGAAAGAATTTTCTCAACGTAGTATATATCATTTTCGGTGGATAGGTTTTTTTCTGGAAATTCAAATAGTTTCATATTTTTAGCAACTAAGGCCAAAAAGTCTTTATCTGTATCAATTGGATCTCCTGGTCGATATATTGAAAGAGCGGGTGGTGTTACTGAAGTTTTATTTGAATGGTCAAAGTCGCCATTTTCATTTCTTTTTTTTTTTTCTCTTTTTCTTTCTTCACCCATCATCGAATCATCATTTGGGGAAATTTTAATTTTCTTTTTTTTGTTTTTAACTTTTTCATCTTTTCTATCTCTGTTTCTTTCCCTTTCTTTTCTTTTTTTTCTATTTTCTTTTGGTCTCTTTTCATCTTTTTCTCTTTTATGTTTTTTCATTTGTTCACTTTCGCTGTAATTTGTCAATAAAAGAGTTGGACCATTATAATCTGTTTTGTTTCTTGCCTCAGCTATTTCATTAAATTCATTCCAAGCCTCATGGACCTTTAGCATTACTCTTCTTTCAATTTCTTCTATTGTGTCCATAGCTATTTCTCTTGGTTGTTGTTGTTGATGTTGGTTTTGGTGTTGTTGTTGTTGTTGTTGTTGTTGTTGTTGTTGTTGTTGTTGTTGTTGGTTTTTTTGATCCATGTCATCATCAGAATTGTAGTTGGTAGTTGGAGTGTGTTGTGTGTGTGGGTGTGGGTTTGGTGTATATTGTTGATGTGGTTGTTGTTGTTGGGTTTGTTGATCAA